CACATATGATAAACATTTGTAGCCCAAAAAACAGCTATGGACAATCGAAACTACACCTATACGAGAAAATAACACACATAACTTGCCAAACTAGATCTGACAGGTATTCACAAGTATTCACTTTTTCAATGTGTCCCATTAACATGTTTAAATTATAACTTTACTGATAACTTTTTAAGATTATGAGATTCTTTATTCGTCCCACAGTGGGGAAATTTCAGTGTTGCCTCACCGGTTACAGAACAATAGCAATGAATAGCACACAACATAGGATAAATTAACTATAACTCTATACTAAAACAAAACAAAATCTCTATTTTAGCATCATGAAGATGCAAGTAAAAAATCTCTAGCTTTAGCATAATGAAGAAGCAAGAAGTAAGTATACCATCTCTGACTTTAGCGTACTAAAAAGTAAGTATAAAGTCTCTATTTATTTTCATTGTTACTGTTTATGTTTATGTCCGGCCCTCTAATTGCTCCATGATCTAAAATGTTTGGACACCCCTGAACTAAACACAGCAGCGTGTGTGAATATACAGTATAAACGAAGCCCCCTAGAGTGCGTACAGTCTCCACCATTCTCCTCTCCAGACTGGGGGAGCCCGTAAAAAGTGACGAATGCGGATGTGTTAATATCATGATGAGGTTTTACTCACTGAGAGAGAGGCAGAGGAGGGGTGAGCGGGGTGCAGTGGAAAAAACTCTGAAATATGAGATGTGTGAAGCATGTGTAAGGAGGAGCTGGGTCCAGAAAGAAAGTCTGCAGAGATTTACGCTTTTAACAAAAGAGATTAGAAAACCTGACAATATAATTCTGTATGTGGGCAACTGTTTGGGGTAATTGACACAAGTGGAAGTGGACTGAGGATGTTGGAATAGAACTGCTTTTCTCACTGCAAAAATTGACATGACGGCTAATTTGAATTGTATAAAATGGCCGATGAATAGACAGATGACAGAAAGAGGTCATTAGTGCATTAAATTTTCATAAACATGGAACTTGCTTCAGGCTAAGACCATGTCCTGACACAAGAATATTAACGCATTATTTTGAATCCCAAATACTATACATGCAATCCAAACAATTATGTGTGATTTTTAAAATGAAGTGTGAGTGATTATTATTGGTATTTGCGAGTACATTAGATAAGACAAATAACAAGACAAATATATAATATAGACAAATGTCTTAGCCTCATCATTCCTATAACTAACTAAATGCTAAAATAGTAAAGCTGGAGTACCTTTGTTCTCAGTCCTCTGAACAGTTTGGTTCTATCATCATAGGTTTTACATACATTTTGTTTGCCTTTGTCACATCAGCTCTCAATCCAAAAGATCCAACGGTGACTCATAGGGTTCTTTCTTACAAATGTGCAAAGAAAACAGCATGATTTTGCTTTCAACAAGCCACATAATATTTCTGAACCAAAAAGGTTAGGTACCCCAGCTTTGATATTTCATCGAGTCTTGATTTGTCTATCCTACAGATCTGCAACATTAGTAAAAGAAAGGCTTTTTTCATTTATAAATGCATAAGACGTTTAACAAATAGAGACACAACCAAAAGCCGTTTTTTGTTCTAGACTTTTCTGGTGAGAGCGTAAGCCTGTTGATATATTTACAATTTGTGGCTTTATTCAGAATTGTTTTCTCTCTGTATCTAATTAATCCTAAATCCTTCGCATTTTGTTTTTTTACTTCATCATTCCCTTTCTTTTGTGAGCCATCTTGAATTTTGGAGTGCAAGGGTTCAGATTGGTCACAGCTGTGGATCTGCAGAGGCTGGTGGGCGGAGCTTCCACATCTGGAAAAGAGAAGAAAGCTGGTGAGAAGGATACATAGGCGACGTATAGGCCAAACAAAACCACTGCATAAGGTTTCCAGCGGCTTTTATCAAATGTATGGTTCAAGACTAGAAGAACACCGAGAGTGAGCGCGAGGAGACGGTGGTATTTTGGATCTGATGTGATCAAATGTGCGTTTTTGTGTAGTGGAAAGAGTGTGGATCGACCGCTGGACCCTGTGGGCCTCTCTGATGTTGGAGCGTGTCTGAACATGTGGAGGCCGTCTGTAAAAGTCATACAGACGAGGAGGGGGCTGGGCTGCACTGGGGACGGTCAAGGAAACTTTTAACTTTTGTGGGTGGATTCAAAGATCACAAAGAGCTTAAAACCGTCTATGTTTTGATTCTATGTATATTAAGTATTATTGTCAAATGTGACCTCAAACCTATTTGGTTGTTTAAATTCAACATTCTTGTCAGTTTTAGTTTTTGATTCAGCTCAAACGACAAAAAGAAGAAGGAAAACTACTTGAGTTTTTTGGTATTAACCCTTATGTTGCCAAAGTAGGAAGAGTTCCACAAGAGCTCGTACAGGCGCTGTCTTGGACTTATCAACATTTGTGGACATTGGTCATCTGCCCCTTACGGACAAATGGCTTCTCTTTTTATCATTGCATTTCTTGTGTTTGAACTGTTTCTCTGATCTTTGTTGGCAAATTCAACGGATTTGTTAAGTCCTTCGAGAAAAGCTAGTGTTATGATTTACGTCTATACAAGAATACATTGAATTGAATTGTCTTCACAGCAGCCTGGATTCACCCAAACCGTTCCCCAAATGTTTTTTCCTTACTTATCTTTGTTAGTAGTGTGGAAAATTGGCCGCATCCTATATTTGCTATAACGTTTCAGAGCTCCACCTTTTGCCTGTTTCTCATTACATTTCTGAAGTCATATATTGATGTAACTTGAATAAATTGGTCGCAGGTTCTCCACTTTTTTTAAGAGAGAGCATTACTGTATTAAAAACACAAACATGTTTCAATACAGCCCATTTGCATTTGAATACAGAGAACACCCACTTGTACTGGTTGGTGATCAAGCAAATACTCCTATTTTGGTTGTTTTCTCACAATATAAGAACATTTTTAAACTGTAAAATGCCCCAAAATGTGCAGGTAACAGAAAACTGAACATCAAAATTATCATTTTAACAAGCAACATATTTTTTTGGCATCACATCATTGTATAAGGTTCAAAATATTCTAAAATACAGTAAAGCTATAGAAAAGCATCTATCTTTTCTTCTTAATTGAACGACAACATAACATACAGTAGACTCAATAAATTATTCTGCGTTGTTCTTTGTGAGTCACTACAGAAAAGTAAAAGTCTAAATGAAAGATCTCATGATTCTGGTGCCGTTTGTCGTGCAGCTTTAATGACATGTTAGGGTGCGCTGAGCCTCCAGGCAAATATAATTAAAGCGTCTTTGTACCATTGTAGTGTTTGAACTCCTGCCGGCTGCACGTGGCTTCGCTACAGTATAATCATGCAGAAGTAGTAAGAGTACAAACAAATCAGAATATTACTCAAATACTTTTCTGTACAATAGCAAAACCATTAAGTAGATATAGACATATGCTGTCATAATAATATGGATTACCATACAGGGGAGTTCATATTTCCTGTCACTACTATTCAAAATATTCAGAATGATTATCAGAGGGAAATGGGGATCAATATTATCACTGATTAAACGTGGCAAAGCAAAGAAGGAAGCAAAGAAAATGATTTTATACAAATATGTGGGAGTAGAGACTAAAGAGAGAGTGAAGTGAGTTGTAACAGAATATAATGTAACACATAGTAAGGATGTTTGAATTTCGATAACCCTAACCCTAACCCTTCCCTATTGCCAACTGTAAACTGTGCTATTGACCCACTAATCTAATTTAAAACTAGATAAAAATAATTCTCTTTTACACTAAACTACCATCAAAAACATCCTCAAACGCAGTGTGGAAACATTTTCTACATATTTCTTGTAAAAACAAATCACTCAATACTGTTTTACGTCATTTAATTAAAACAGAAGGAAGCCGTTTCCAGGGCAAGTACTAATCAGGTTTGTGCAGATGCAAAATGACAAAATAGTCTATTTTTCAGCAAAAACCTTACACATTGATCTTTAATACAAAACTAAAATGTATGACCCAATACTGAAGTTTAGCCCACCTGCAGCAGCAGCAGCAGCAGCAGCAGCAGCAGCAGCAGCCTCATGCTGTCTGCTGGTGGAGTTGGATAGAGCTTCTCTCATCGCAGCGGCCCAGGACAGAAGGGGCATTCATGGCCAGGATCCCCCCGTAGACCACAGTTTGCCCGGGCCAATCGGTCTAACATTTACTGAGGAAATGTTCACTTAGTGCAGGAAGTCTGAGGTTTCAGCGATATGTTTGATTCCAGCAGTTAGCCAAACAACATGGGGTTATTAGACAGGTCAGAGCAACATAGGTGGGAACTGAGACACCCACGGGGATTTACAAGTGCAATTCAAGTGGGAATCAGGTAAACCATTAGCTTTGGAGGTAAAATACAGATATTTTTAGAATCATACACACCTCAGTGACAGGGAATAATGGTAAAGGTTAATATAGATATGATATGAGATTATATAGAATAATTTGCATCAAAATATTTAGCCTCAAAACATGTTTATCTACAAATAGGACTTGAAGCAATGCAACAATTTGTAAACATGACAATTCAATAAAATGTTCCAGATTCTAGCTGTCAAAATATTTAATGCAAAGTCAGCTTTTGAGAGGATAAATGGTTTCCTTGAGCTTAGTTATTTTCACATCCATAGCTCTATAGTTATTTGAAAAAATAGCTTTAAATCTATTACCTGCGACAGACAACAACAGCAGAATTTAAAGTAATATTCATTTATTAAGAAAGAAAGAAAGTATACACAAAACATTGCATCATGAACATAAGCTGTACAAATAAGAACATTTTTACTGAGATTGACAAAAACATGAATGGCAACTGTACATATATATATTTTTACATTTGAAAATCAAACTAAATAATTTAACATTGTATTTTCGCTTGACTATCTTTGATCTACATGTCATATAGTACCAAATCAAAACAGCTTTCAGGCCTAGCTGTAGTTATGTCAATGTCCTGTAAGGGCGCAGTGGAGCTCTCACTGGATTTTCTTTTTCTCCAGTTGGGCTAACTCTCTGGCCTTTCTCCTCTTGAGTTTTTTCTTGAGGAAGAGTAAGTCAATGTACACGATGTGATCCAGGACGGCAGAGGAGCAGAGCAGGCCTCCGTGAAGAGCTCCAGCGATGCCACAGCTGAACACATCCTGACCTGGGACCGGATCACAGCAGAGGGTTAGGGTCCGTTTAGATAACAGGGGTAAATCTGATCATAGCATTGCCAAATGTCAAAAAAATATAATATAGTTCATGTACAAACAGGCAAATGCCGAACCTGCAGACTGGAGAGGAGATGCTTTATTTTTGGGGGAATGTCATTGTGTACAGTGGGAATTATAGTGCACAAAACAATAGTGAAAATCCATTCTGGAAAAGCTCTTTTAGACCAATACATTAATCTATGACTAAAATGTCCTCATTGGGGTATGAATAAAGGTTATATTTTCTATCATAGTGCTTCTGCTTGACATGAAGAAAAATACAAAACTCATATATGCTGAAATAGAAGATAATGTATATGAAAGCACCATGCCATGATCCTGGTCAATTCACTTTTTAGTCTCGGGCCTCAAAATATGTGTGATATGGACTCACTTCTGATTACATACATTTTATTATGGGACAGTGTTTAATACAGAAGCTATAATGCTGTATACAAAAAACACACACAGGTATTAGCTCAGGGCAACTTTTCCTCCGTAGCTCTGTTTTCAGTGTTAGAGGAAACATAGAGAGAACATGCAAACTCCCCTAAGAAAGGACCCATCCCACCTGAGACTCAAACCCAGGACCTTGTTGCTTGGAGGCGACTCTATCCACTGTGCCACTGTGTTTCCCGTGCTAAATTGTGTTTATTTATAATTGGAGTCTATTATTGTGTTATTGGACCATGAAATTGAACTTGAAAGCATCTCGCACACCCCACTTTGAGAACCAATGCATACTTGCTTCAACCTTACATTTCTTTCATAGTTACTTACGTATCACCTTTAAAGCTTAGTCTGTCAGTCCAGTGGTTACCTGAGATGAAGAGGTTTTTGACAGGCGTGTGGCATCTGTTGCGGGCCACTGCTTCGGCGTGGAATCGGTCCAGGTTGTGTTCGGCCGAGTACATGGCTCCTCTCTGCGCTCCCAGGTAGTGGCAGTTTGTGAGGGGAGTGGCTACGTCCTGGAACACCAACTGATGGGGACAAAGATTGAGTTTTATACCAATGAAATCCACTGAAATGTCAGAAAACTCATCAATCCAACATTCCTATTTGTAGAGCTACGATGCCATAAATTACTGACATTAAAACCACTTTGATGCTATGAATAAACTCGTCTGGACTTTTGGGATTGTAACGGATTTATGGGGAGTAGCTGTAGAAAGCAGAATGTCTTAAAAGTATATAAGAGGATATTCCCAAACTTTTAGGAAAGAACCACTTTTTGACTCTCTGGTCTTGTTTGACATGCATGTATCACCAGAATGATTGACAATTAGGAAGACCTAGACTTGATGATCCATCCGGAAGTAGAAGATCCTCCTCCATACCTAGTTAGTAACCAGTAGGTGGAGAGAAGGAACCATTCTATATACAATTACGCCAATACAGGGTCAGCGATTGCATTCAGGGCAGATTGATCCATAGTAGTATTAATATTGACCTACTGGTATTGGAACACATTTTGCAAACTCACACACAGTCCTTCATTACAACAGACTGTTCGAGAGAGCAGTGTTTTCCTCTTTTGTTTGTTAGTGTTGTCCTGATACAAAATTTCAAAATAAAACAATTTTCTAATGGGAATCTCTGCCAAATTGAATATCACAGCAATTATTTATGCTAAATGGCAGTAAAATCTAATAAAACTCTTTACAACAACCTGTAATTATATGAGAGAAGGTAATGGTTTTATTTTTGTATCTATTCTTGCTCAAATACTGATAGTTACTAGTTTTGGAAATAGCTGATATTGGATACTTTTGTCAAGTTATAGTGTATAGTTTATATATACCCAGTTTGTACCCCTACTATTTACCTGCTACTGCTTTCATTTCCTGACTTCAAACTACTCTACACCAGAAAAAGGAAGCCTCAAAGCGCACTCACCTTGTCTTTGATTTTGGGGAATAATTTACAGGCCCAGTCAAAGAGGTTTTTGGCGAATCTCATTTTGTAGTTGTAGTACTCGTCTCCTCTTTTGCGCACAGCTGTGTCTTTCCATTCCTCAAACCATTCATACTTCACCATGGTCAGGATCGTCATGCAGGATTTCCCTAAAGCAAAAAAGATATGTGTTTAAATTATAGCTTGTTATGGGGGGAGAAATAACAATGGAGGAATGTGGCTATACCTGGGTGTCTTATTTTAGATTCTGGGTCTTTTGCTGATGGCATGGTTATAAACATCATGGGGATGTTGTCCGGAGCTTCTTCTTTGCTCAGTGCAAAGAAGTCCTCCATTCTAGACACAAGAAAAGAGTTTTACAGACCAAAAAAAATGATTGACACTGGAAGAAGAAAAAAAAAACGTGTCTAAGCCTCTGCTCCATCTGGTGGCAGCAAAAGTTTGAACACTATGGCTAGAAAAGTGAATGTACGAATACTACTGGGTGTAAGTTGATCTAATTTGTGTTTTTTAAATAGTCCACTTGTTTGTTTTATAAATCGGATAATGTTAAAATGCGTTCATGGGTTTTTTACCTACAACTTGGTGCTTCAGTTCTTTCTATGTTTTATACAAGAGCGCCCCCTGCATGTAGACCCAAAGACACACACTTTTTAATATGGATTTGGAACTTTTCATTTGCCCCTTTTCAATCATTGTCTGTAAACTTTATTCAATGTCTGAATCTAAACTGAACTCTTAAAAAATCGTCCTAAAAATGAGGAAATGTCGATTTTTTTTGTAGCTTTTTTTTTTAATAGTTCATTTTACTTTTGTTTATTTTCTTTACTTCCAAATCAGAATTATTTTGTTGTCTTAAGTAATATACTAATTTGAACTTTTCTGTTTTTTTTTTTTCACTATCAACAATCATATTCGAATCATCTTCTGTATTTAACCATTGTAACCATGTAACCACCATCTATTGTGCCTGTGTCATGATTCTTTCCACCCTCTGTTTAAAACTATTGAAAATACAACATTGGTTTCAGATTCTTACGATTTGTCCATGTCGTTGTTTTTGAAGAGCCAGAAGTTTGTGGAGACCAAACCCAGTTCCTCCTGAGTCCCCTCGAACCCAGAGAAGACCAGGAATGACCCGCGGCCTGGTTTCATCATGTTCAGCCTCTCCTGCATCTCTGTGGTAAGAAAACACACAAAAAGAAAAAACGTTGTTGTAAAGAAATATTATTAGAAAAAATATGATATATACAGTATATACTTTGGGCTAAGAGCTGATTAACTAAATGAGAGTGGTCCTTTCTTTTTAAATATTTTGGCTGAAAAACCAGTGATAAACCCAAATTGTTTTGCGAGCAAGGAACTTGTTCAGTGGATTTCTTTACATAGTTGCATATTTTGTGGCTTGAAAATGATGTACCCCAAAAAAATGTCAGTATTACGATAAGATTCAAGAATGTATTTTCCATCTGCAGTAAAACCACATTGGAAAAACTGTGCAAGAATTCCATATGCACCAACTGACGGATATGGACTGAATACTTTACAAATGGACTCTATATGCCCAGAGATATCTATGCTATAGAAACAACCATAGTAAGAACATTATATTTAAATTGCATAAACACATGAAAAAGCACAGACTTACGTGGCTGGACTGAGATTTCTCGAGGCAGCAGTTTTTGGAAAGTGGTGAAGATTCCACAGTTTGAGACAATAACAGGAGCCCGGATTTCAAACTCCTCTTGGCCTTTTCTCACTTTCACACCTGTCAAACACCCAGAATAATATGGTTAATAATAATAATGATAATAATAATTGTTCTAATACCGGACGTTCTTCTCACCATAAGCTGTGTTTTCCTCGTTGACCAGGATCTGTGTGACCGGAGCGCGGACCAGACAGTTCCCTCCATATTTCTGGATGGTTCTGATGATGTGGAAGGAGATTTCACTGGCGCCACCTTTGATGTAATACGCCCCTCGCTTGTAGTGGTGGACGAGGAGCGCGTTTATCAAGACACTGGAGTCTTTTGGCGGAACACCTTCAAAACATTCAAGGTTTAGATTATTCAGCTGAAAACAATTACAAAGAATGTGTGTGTCTGCCATCTACTGGTCGAAGTAAAATAAGACTCCATCTGGTGGCTTTAGAGAAGCTTCATTATTCCCATTTATCACCAATGTTTTTAATATGTACATCCAATCCAATCCACTTTAATTACATAGCACATTTCATAAACACAGTTCCCAAAGTGCTGCACAATAAAATACTAATTAAAACTAATTCAGAGTAAAACAGTAAAATTATTAAAATATCAAAAACGGCAATATAAAAATAGCAGTAAAACAAAATTCAATTAAATAAAAAAATAACCATACAACTCACGCAGTGTTAAAAGCCAGAGCATAAAAATGGGTCTTTAGACATATACATAAACAATATAACTAAATAATGTATTTTAAAGCAAACAGTGCCTCTGCTTCTGGGAAAGCTCGTAACATTCTTGGCACTGCTTTCACTTTTTTTCTTCTAATCGTTTGCATAATTACACACGCACGTAACATGATTTTATTTCTTTTTCTAAGAAACAAAATCCATGTCATAATTGGCTCTTACCATAGAAGAGATAAGAGAAGATAACGTGAAGGTCCCTGTTGCTGGTCAGAGTGTTCACCAACTCTGTCGCACACGTCCCAGAAAGTTTAAAAACTGGAGAAACCAAATCCGCCAGACCCGATTTCAACAAGAGCAAAGACACCCACTGAGGAATGAGCTTTAGAGTTGCCAGATAGTGGGTCTTTTTGGCACAAATCTGGAGAAATACAAGGAAAAGCATAATCATTATCTCAATCATCATTTTAATTATACAATATATTCAAAAGAAAATAATTCTGTGTCTTACTTTCATTATGTTGAAGAACGTTTCGATGGCTTCTTTGTCGTCAGGAAACTGCTTGATGAGATGGGACTTCATGGTGGTTTTGCCGGAGAAGATGGTGTACTCTCGCAGGTCTGTGCCTTCTCCGATTTGGATGGTGTCGAAATGTTGGTTTAGCTCCTGAAACTCCAGCTGCCCCTCGGAGATCTGGTCAAAGGCGATACGCAGGAGGCTGTTCTCGTGGAGCTGGCCGATGTAGTGCAGACCTGTAGGGACAATATACTGGTAAAACTCAGCTGTGAGAGACCAGTTCATCTAAGACCAGGGAACTGTGAAGCTTCAGAGCATGTGGAAGGTACAAATAAATCTGTAGTAGTAGAATCTTAGTCAAAGCTTTGGCTTCGGCTGTCAGACCTGGAGGAGTCTGAATTCCATCTAATATATATCAATAAATACCTATCTATCCATCTATCTATCTATCTAAATCAACGATTCTGTAATTAAATGAACTCTAAAGCCACAATTTAAAACACAAATGCAAAACTATAATACAGACTAAAGGTAAAGGTGCACTTTATTAATCGACGGAGGGCAATTTGTCCTCTGCATTTGACCCATCCTGATGCCCCAAAGGCTTACGCCAGGAGCAGTGGTCGCCGTAGTAACAGCACCGGAAACCCATCTCCAGATGTTGATGCTTGGTTTGGTCAGGACTACCAGAGCTGGAGGATTTATTAGTTTATTAGTTGTTTATCAATTATTTACTAGTGTGCATGTTTTTGATGGTAGGAGAAACCGGAGTACCCGGAGGAAACCTACGCAAGTACGGGGAGAACATGCAAACTCCACTCAGTCCCAACCAGGATTCGAACGCAGGACCTTCTTGCTGAGACGCGAGAGTGCTATCCACTCAGCCACCCTGCCCCCCTAAAAATGTTTTTTAATCCTAAACAGAATTGCCAAATAAACTAAGAAAAAAATCCCTAAAATTACATTCAGGGACTAAAATGAAGTCCCTGAATCTAATTTTAGGGATTTCTTTCTTAGATTATTTGGCAATTCTGTTTAGGATTAGAGCAGGGGTGTCCAAAACTTTCAGTAAGAGTGTCACTTTAATTAACCAGACTTGTCCATCGGCCGGTAACATGGATTGTAAAACTGAATTTCTCCTACAGGGATCAATAAAGTATTTTTCAATCTCTATTATTTTATGCAACACTTTGAAAATGCCTTGACTTTCACACCAGTCAAATGAAGAATGCTTTTATGGACCTCTTACCAACATCAAACTCAAAGCCCTTCTCAATGTAGGTGTGGCAGCAGCCCCCCGCCTGGTCGTGCTGCTCCAGGACCAGGACCCTCTTCCCGGCTTTGGCCAGAGTGGCTCCAGCCGTGAGACCACCGATCCCACTGCCGATGACTATCACATCCAGGTCCCGAGGCACCCGGTCCATGCTGAAACCTGGTCAAAATAAGTCTGCATTATTGATGATTTAGCTATGTACATATTTTTCTGGATAATCTAGTTAAGTATTTGAAAAGTGATGTATGTGTGTTGTGTAATGGTGTTATGTAAGACAGTCTGAAGGTTGTACTCCATTGAACTGATTTCTGAAGTGTAATTTCTGATCTGGCCTGGGTCATAAACGTAATGAGGTTGATCATCTAATCTAACAGGTTGAATCTAATTTAGATAACTGTGCATTATCTGCTCTGCTCCAGTTACGATGCCGCAAACAGGTTGTAGAGATATCAGACAGACTATATCTATTATCACCTATCCAACCATTAAAATACTCTAGTATCCTCGTTTGTTTGAACTTTCCTGATTATATCTACTCAAAATGTATTTGAATTAGGATTTATTTTGATAGGAGTACATTTTGTCTTAAAACAAGTTTTCATGAGACCATTGTTCTTTCTTGTTTTAGAATTGATATCTTGATGAGACAAGTATGAATGGTTTTTCATACTTTTTTCCCCCTCCAAATTAGAAAATTACCAGCTGCAAACACAGCTATCATGTCTCCTTTAGGACTCCCAACTTTACATAACTAAAGAAGAAAACAACTGTAATATTTGAGTATTTACTGTCACATCAGCTCTAGTCCTGAAATAAGTGAGCAACAGAGATCCATGGACTGGTTCACAGAGATGTGGCCAAAGCCCGAGTCAATACGGTGGAAGGTAATGTGCAGAAGAAAATATCATGAACACTATGATTATATTTTCAGGCTATCACAGAACAAATTGTTTGAAAATCAAACTCAGTTTGATTTTCATGATCTGAACTTGGCACAAAAAGAACTTTGAATTGTGCATGAGTATAATAAAAAAAAATCACACCTTGTTTGATGACTTTATCCCTTTTCCTTTGGTCAAACTCTCTGGGCGCAGGCGGCCTCACCGACTCCAGGGAGAAGGGGCTCTTCTTCCCAAACAGGTACCAGTAGGAGCCCCCCACCCACAGGAGCACCCACACCAGGAACACCACCAGCCACATTTCTGAGAAGCAAGTTAGAGAGCAGAATGATGCCCAGAGCGAGCGGTGAGTGCATATATAGGCTCCAGGCGGCAGTGCCAAAGTCTGCAGAGGGCCATGTGCTCGGTATGTGACATCCTTCACTTTACAACACTCCATAAAGATAATGCACGAAGCCTATTACTCCTGGATCGACACGACTTATAGAAAACAGTTTTTCAGCTGCATCGGCTGAGCTCATAATGAGGCAAGCATTTGCATAACAGTTTGATAATTGTACAACACACAATCACACTGATAGCTATAATGACAGCAGACCTCATTGGGAGTCTCATGGTGGGCTTGAACACACAACCTTCAGGCTCAAAGGCCATTGCTCTGCCAACTGAGCCACTGTCGCTCAGTAGCAAAACAAAAATTGTTTTTTTCAGAAAAAAACTATTATGTCTGTATTTGTGCAGACTGCTTTCAATTTAGAAAGTTCATTGTGACTTCTTTAGAATTCTTCTTCGACAAACCTTTTTGATCTATACTGGAAATTACTTGGACACAAAGCTAAAAAAGTACACTATTTAAATAGATAAAAGTTTTAAATGTGTCAAAAGTGAAATAGTCAAAAGTGTAAATAACCATAACAATAGAGTTAGAATATACATATATTCAGGACAAGCAAAAAGAGAAAACGCTTTCTATTTTTCCTTTAGTTTAAACCTTTCAGTAACTTTTAACATAATTTATCATACCCTTTGTAACATCCTTCTTCTATGGAACAGAAATCAGAAAAACAAGATTCCACGAGTCTGGTTGCTCCTGTCTAAAGGTTGTCGCATATTAGATTTTTTTCTGATGCAAAAAAAACATATGGAGATTAGATTAGCTGTTATAAATGCTTTTATCTGATAAGGCAATTTAGATAAAGCAGTAATTATGAGTCTGTTACAGAAGATTTTACACAATCTATGTGCTAACAGCTGTGTAGATGACAGGAAGCAGAGCGAAAGTCTGATAAAGATGCCTCGCCCAAAAGAGAACTTGGGGATAGAGAAGGAGTGGTATATTTGATTTATTTTCAATGGTAAGCATTTGTTTAGTTAATAAGTACAATATTTCATCTAAAAAATGCTATCAAATATATCAAATCTGAAAATATAATGTAGATTTTTTCCCTCTAGTCAACAATCAATTGACGATCACACACATGAACTCGACCAGCCTCAATGTGGGTAGAATTTACAGTCTATGGTAGAAAACTTGTGATGTCGTCTCAAACACCATATAATGAGTAACCGAGTACCTGCAGTGTTGTGGGGAGAGAAGGCTGTTGTTAAGACATATCTGTGCGACAATTTTGTAAGGTGAAAATTCACATTACAATATTGTTTTGTATGTAACTAGAGTCATAGCCCAATATCTTCTCTAAATACTGTTGTAAGTAATTTCCTCTTGTCCTGTGTGACCTGTATGATAATCAACAGGACTGTATTACAACTGGTCCATGTCTGGTTCGCTCTGGTTAAAAGAAACACTTCACAGATCTGTTTAAAACATGTAAATTGACTTAAGAGACAGATGACATTAGTGACTAGTGAATAAACAAATGTTTGCCCTATTTAAACCAGAATTGAACCAGATCAGAAAATGTGAACGTACCCTTATTGTTTTTAATATTGATATTTTAGGTCAGATTTCTCGCCTCACATAAGAGCAACGTGTATAAAATAACACAAACATTGAAATAATCTCGTAATCATTTGTAGTGCACCACCTATTCATGGGATCAGCGCTTTGTTTCAGGCAAGGACCTCCCTCACAAAAGTCTATTTCAGTGTTTCTTTGTTCTATCATCCAGCAACCTACAGATATGATTATTTGCAATTAGTTTGGTTAAAATACATTTCATAGATGTCGATAAAAAGGCCTGTAATTGGTTTAAAAGCTCAGGATTGGAGCCGAGGTTGAAGCCTTTGCAACGAGATTATAGACTTTGATACAGGAAGCAGCTCTGTGTCAAAAGGCTTCTACACTACTGCCAATCCTATTACAGGTAAGAACAAGCACAAGTCAAGTGACATTGTACTGCCCTACATGTCCTCAGATGTTTACACCACTATAGCAAAGACATAATAAATAAATGAAATAGGAAATAAAGACACCACTTTTAAACATACTTTGATTGCTATTTGCATTTAATAACAAATTCCTTAAACACTTTTTTTGTACAATTTATACATTTTCTGGAATACGTTGACTGTTTCCCATGTTTAATGCTGTCTACACGCTTGTCCAGGAGTCATAAAAAATAGGATGTTCTTTGCCTGTTGGATAATATCTTTTGTTATGTTACTATGCAGCCGCCCTTGTCTCCTTTGTAGGGGTTCTTATCGTCCGGGACCCCCTTGATCAGTTGGTCGTTGGGAGCCAGGTTTTCCACAAATGAAATGGTTTCGGCGCAGTTTGTGAGCACCTGAGAAATAACAAAAATAACAAAAATAACCATTAAATGAAATACAGTGTTGTGTTCATCTCTAAAAATGTATTTGACAACGTTGCAAAGAGAAGTTTGGTTTATTTTTATGTGATTAAACCAACATATAAATATTAATAGAAGCTTTGTTGTCAAATTGTAGAGAGAAGAATAAATGCACTTTTCTATGTTATTGTTTTTTTATGTTCTTCATTTAACCTTAAATTATCTAGAAAAGTCCCATTGAGATTAAGAAACTCTTTTTCAAGGGAGTCATGGACAAGATGTTATTATACATTGAGTGACAGCTCAGTTTACGACAAAAATCAAATGTAGTGTGAATACAACAAACATTGTCAATACAAAATAACTTACAGCAGTACGAGGTGTGTTAACTTCTTTCTTCAATTGGTCCAATTCCATTTGCAGGATTTCTTTATCTGACATATCCCGAGCCATTCTGACTGCAAAGACAAAAAACCGTGAACCGCATATCCTCATGAACTAAAATTGAAGGACCGAAGCCACAATATTAAACAAGTGTTGTAATTAATGTTTGCATACCTGTTGAATGGTGGGTCTCTTCCACACACCGTTGTCACTTGCTCGTCGTTGGTCTGTTCAGGTGGACTGTGGAGAAAAACTCACCCCCACCAGGACGAGTCGGCAAAGGATTAGACCAGATGTCACCAATCCCCCGGTAAAAGGATTAAACTATCAGCTGCCATTTACCCACGAGCAGGAAGGAAGACGAGCAGAGATCATTCTAGATGCAGACAGTATGAGGCAAGGTAGACATTACGTTACAGTTACTGGATATACTTTAGTAGAAGATCAATGAACAACCAACTGTCAATCACTAAAATCACTAAAATCAGAAATGAGTTGATGTAACATTTTCCAGATGAATTTTGTATCTTTGTTATTATTTGTATTTTGTATGTGCGTGTGTGTGTTTGTGTGACTACATTTTGACTTACTATCACCTGTTGCATATACTGTAAACTACCTTTCACTATGATAATAATAAGGAAATAATAATTTAAAAAAGGAAAAAATATCTAAAATCTATAAATGCACAAATTGCAAAAGTCATAAAGTAGTAAAATAAGTACAAACATACAGCCTAAAGGTGTCATTTTACATTATTGTTTTATTGTTCAATTATATTATCTGGGTTGTCTTTATAGGTCTTGGCAATGTCTCAACAGAATTGATTTGGGGTCACAGTGCCATTTCGTTGATTGCATTGACTGGAGTGGTTCCCAAACTTATGCAATAGTGGCTCTTCTTCCAGGTTGCAGGTTGCTCTGGAAAATGTATTGAAATGTTGCCTTTTTATTTTGCCTGCTTGGGGTTGACGAGGTTTTTGAGTGCTCCCTATATAGTCATCTTAGTGATAATTATTCCCCTGCTCTGTGCTGGGTGTTGCAACATTGGAATTGCACCATGTTGGAACAAATAAAAGTTCTAATTTACAGTTATCAGTGGTTATTCTGCACACACACCATTGATTGTTAGTAATTTATATTTACAATACAGCCTTAGAAGGTGAATGGTATGTTATGGTTGAGGAGGTTTTGAAATTGCTATTATCTTAAAATTATCTTAAAAATTATGTTTTGTGAATTTAAGATTTACTTGGATTGATGAAATGGGGGCTTGAGTTCTAGAAGAAAAAAATATTGATCACATTGTGGTTGACTTTTCAGACAATTGGTTGATCTTTTGTTTATTCTTTGCAGGACTGGCCTCATAATCCATTTTCAGGAACTGGGTTAGTCTCATCGACTGCAGATTAACCTGAGACGTCAGGATGGATTAGAGGCACGTTGGACACACTTTCATCCAGTCCAAAAGGTGAATACAAAACTTTCCCTTTCATTAGGCCAATGTTTGCATTTCATAATTGGATATATAAATAGACTTCTCCAGCCATTATCCAACTTAAACCTATCAAAATTATAAATATAAATGTATGTGAGTTGTATGTTACAGATTATATAGCAAACAATAGATAGATACTGTCAGTGTAGGAAGGAGCGCTACCACAGGGCCTTTATCCCCACCGCTGTCAGACTGTACAATAGGTCACTTTAAATGATCACTGTGTGAAAACCTGCACTACTATTGACACTGTTTCCAATTGACACTTTTCACTTTTGTTGTACATAATTATTGTCACTTTTGTTGTACATATATATCCTGCATGTAACATGTTTGCACATTTCCTCCTTTTGCACAATCTGAGTGTCCTATCCATGCTAAATATGACATGTAAATTTCTCCTATGTGAGATAAATAAAGCACATCTTATCTTATCTTTTCTGTTCCCTTCTTAACATTGTTTTAACATTGTTTTAACTTTAATGATGTGTGCTTTTATTGTTGTTGTTCTGTAGCACTTTGAGATTTGTATGTAAAGTGCATTACAAATTAAAGGTATTATTATTATTATTATGATCTTATATGGTTAAATGATGCCCTAAATACAATAAGACTGGGGACATGTTAACTTGTTGGTCTACTAGACTTGCTTCACTGCAGAGAGAGTACAGAATATATCAAACAAAGAGTTGACTTGAGTGGACCAGAAAACGTTTTGAGTCTGCTTTGACTCAACTTGAAATCCTTCGCCTTCGACCTACATTCCTGCAATGTTCCAGTTGCACCTCCAGAGAGCAGCATCTGTCCTATTTTAGGACGGAAGCAGTGAAGTTGTACGTTACATGAATTCAAGGTTAATTGTTCTGGCATTGGCTTCAGAAAAAACTGAATCATTCTGAATTTAAAAACAAACCAGACTATTCTTACAGCAATAACACTAGTTGACTTCTTTATTCATTGTTGGGACTGTACAAATGAATCATACGTGTAAATTAATATATATTATACCCCATAATTCAAATATTACTGTAATTATGATGCTCATAAAACTCCAGAGACATTGTACTTTTTCATGTTTAAGTTATTTATTTATTTTCTTTATCTTTTTTTCTCCCTAAGATATACAGTACACTTTTGCTCAATTTAATGAATATTTGAAAACTAGATTAATAGATAAACCTCATTATATGAAGTCTATGGATTTGTTTTGCCTCGTGGTGCTTTGTAAGATTTTATTTTGATACATTTTGTTGTTTCCGGTTTGCCTCCGCCGGACTTCCGCTTCTTCCGGGCTGTTGTTGGATGAATGAGCTGTGGCCATGGCTGCCCCGAGCAGGAAGCAACTTTTCAGGTTTCTGAGCCAGCTGGGAGCCTTCATTCTGACCCGGTTTGGGTTTTGGAACTGCTTCAGTATGTTGATGTTGTTTGCTGAACGAGCCGACTCGAAAAGGTAAAACCCAGTAATGGGAACACTTAAGCTAACATGCTAACAGGCTAGCACATGCAGACTGCTGCAGCCTGTCAGGACATGTCAACGTTAGATATTTGCTCAGAAACTTTATTCATACTGACGAGTAGCAGTAAGAGGTTTTGTCTGATTCGATATGAAAGGGCCATATATGTATTTATAGAAAAAAAAATGGAAAGCTGTTTAAGATTAGTGTGAAAGGAAGTCCTCTGTAATTTGGTCATAGCATATAATTATCTCTGTGCTTTGTGTTTACTTTACTTTGTGGCAGGGTGGGCTTCGTCCTGGAACAACCCCACCCTTTATGTGTATTATACACGTCAGTCATGCAAACCTACTCTCTTTCACCAAGATTAAGAATGCATTTATCATATTTTTACTGACTCAAACTTTTTAGAGAATGAGTCCCAATGTTAAAGGTTACGTCCATAATTTATTTTGAGTATCAGATATAATTTATCTTTATAATCTAGTAATTATACATCAGAGAATAGTCTAACAACCCCTCACTTTGGCAAGCAACTTATTACATTATTTCAAAAACATATATACTTTATGATTGACAAAATTATGTTAAATTGCTTTTAATGGTAACTGGAAAGAAAAACCTCAAATGACTCGACCACTGAAATTGACTTTTAAGCACTACGCAATCGCTGCCTAAAACTAATCAGAAGTGTGTGAGTTGCAGAACTCAGTGTTTAATAATCTGTTTTGCTTACCTCAGAAAACCGGACATCTCGGTGCCATACCTGTACATAGACATGGGAGCCGCTGTGCTGTGTGCCAGTTTCATGTCCTTTGGAGTGAAGAGACGGTGGTTTGCGACGGCCGCTGCAGTACAACTGGCCCTCAGCACCTATGCCTCGTATGTGGGGGAGCAGGTGCACTACGGCGAGTGGCTCAAGGTGATGCTGCTCGTGTGTTTGCCTCTGTCCAATTGTGCCTATAAACCCAGAATAGTGATTTTATGAAACCCATATTACACAATCACAATCACAATTACTATAGTATACAGTCAGCTATATAATAAATGTTATTCCTTCCAAATCCAACCAGAAGTCCTTAGAGTTCCAGATCCTGCTCCTGTGTGTCCGTAGGTCTGGAGTTATTTATTGTTTTGTTCCTGAACTGTTGCAGGTGAGGATGTACTCCAGAGCACTGGGAGTTATTGGAGGTTTTCTGGTTTTGGCGAGTGGCGCTGGAGAGGTGTACAGACAGAAGTCTCGTACCAGATCCTTGCAGTCTACCGGACAAGTTTTCCTCGGCATCTACCTGATCTGCATCGTAAGAGATTTTGTAAAATGCAATGAGTTTCATGTATTTATAGGTCTGAAATGACTCTTATAACTTTACGGTAATAACGTTATATGAGCCATTTAGGTAACATAGTAACATTTGAATACACCCTATTTGTACATTTTCCATTTACCCTTTGTATACCAGATAAATTATTAAGAACAAATGCAATTCACAGTGTTGAACCTTGAATTGGCAAAGTAATGTTTTCAGCAGAACCAGAAAACATGAATAATCTCACATACAACATACACTCCCAATACTTTGGTATTGTTTTGTCGCATCTTCTATGTTAAAATTGGCATATTTTGGAATTGGCAGATCATCAACTTCAACAACTCAATTTGAAGGACTATATACTGCTTCGGAAAATTATCGCAGTAAATGCAAATATTGAAACGACGTCATCCCACTGTTTTTGGTCGTCTAAAGCCTGGTTCACACGAGACGATTTTAAAATTGTCGGCCGATAAAAAATCACGGGTCTAACCACTTTGGTCGCAGCCACACGGCAAAATCACGCAAACCACACACGAACCGATTTCCCCCCCGAGCATTCACAGGTCACCGGAAATCTCACAACATCTCTCGAGATCAGAGTAAACAGAGTGGGCAGGCCTCTCTGCTTCATGCAGCCTACAGAGACTCGTCTGACCACAGCAACCACAGACACCATGAGGACAAACACATGTGGATTTTACTGCTCTACAGTTCTCTGGCCCGTACTGTCTGTGCTGTTCAACAATACAGTTTGTACAGACGACCTGTGAACGCATCACACACACTGCTAGACATGAAACTTTACATACGCGCAAACCAACAAGCACGGCTGCAGTAACGGCTGCATCAACACGTCTGTGCTGTATTAGGACAGAGTGCAGAGTAAACGTACAAACACAACCATCAGTCTGATCATTTAGTGCTAATCCTGTCCGAAAAGGGCTTATGCCAACACTACCTGTGCAGCAGCAATTTCTGCCCAATTCCTCTCCTTGTCATTTCGGTTATGATATTCTTTACACGACACGTCATACAGTGCCTTGCGAAAATATTCGGCCCCCTTGAACCTTTCGCCACATTTCAGGCTTCAAACATAAAAATATAAAAATAATTTTTTTTGTCATGAATCAACAACAAGTGGGTGTCCCACTTGTTGTTGATCGTGAAGTGGAACGACATTTATTGGATAATTTAAACTTTTTGAACAAATAAAAAACTGAAAAGTGGGGCGTGCAATATTATTCGGCCCCTTGCACTAATACTTTGTAGCGCCACCTTTTGCTGCAATTACAGCTGCAAGTCGCTTGGGGTAGGTCTCTATCAGTTTTGCACATCGAGAGACTGGAATTTTTGCCCATTCTTCCTTGCAAAACAGCTCGAGCTCAGTGAGGTTGGATGGAGAGCGTTTGTGAACAGCAGTCTTCAGCTCTTTCCACAGATTCTCGATTGGATTCAGGTCTGGACTTTGACTTGGCCATTCTAACACCTGGATACGTCTATTTGTGAACCATTCCATTGTAGATTTGGCTTTATGTTTTGGATCATTGTCCTGTTGGAAGATAACGCTCCGTCCCAGTCTCAGGTCTTTTGCAGACTCCAACAGGTTTTCTTCCAGAATGGTCCTATATTTGGCTCCATCCATCTTCCCATCAATTTTAGCCATCTTCCCTGTCCCTGCTGAAGAAAAGCAGGCACAAAACATGATGCTGCCACCACCATGTTTGACAGTGGGGATGGTGTGTTCAGGGTGATGAGCTGTGTTGCTTTTACGCCAAACATATCGTTTTGCATTGTGGCCAAAAAGTTTGATTTTGGTTTCATCTGACCAGAGCACCTTCTTCCACAGGTTTGGTGTGTCTCCCAGGTGGCTTGTGGCAAACTTTAAATGAGACTTTTTATGGATATCTTTGAGAAATGGCCACTCTTCCATAAAGGCCAGATTTGTGCACGACTGATTGTTGTCCTATGGACAGACTCTCCCACCTCAGCTGTAGTTATCTGCAGTTCATCCAGAGTGATCATGGGCCTCTTGGCTGCATCTCTGATCAGTCTTCTCCTTGTTTGAGATGAAAGTTTGGCGGGACGGCCGGGTCTTGGTAGATTTGCAGTGGTCTGATACTCCTTCCATTTCAACATAATTGCTTGCACAGTGCTCCTTGAGATTTTTAAAGCTTGGGAAATCTTTTTGTATCCAAATCCGGCTTTAAACTTCTCCACAACAGTATCTTGGACCTGCCTGGTGTGTTCCTTTGTCTTCATGGTTCTCTCTGCGCTTTAAACAGAACCCTGAGACTATCAAAGAGCAGGTGCATTTATACGGAGACTTGATTACACACAGGTGCATTCTATTTATCATCATCAGTCATTTAGGACAACATTGGCTCATTCAAAGATCCTCACTGAACTTCTGGACTGAGTTTGCTGCACTGAAAGTAAAGGGGCCGAATAATATTGCACGCCCCACTTTTCCGTTTTTTATTTGTTAAAAAAGTTTAAATTATCCAATAAATTTTGTTCCACTTCACGATTGTGTCCCACTTGTTGTTGATTCATGACAAAAAATTAACATTTTATTTCTTTATGTTTGAAGCCTGAAATGTGGCGAAAGGTTCAAGGGGGCCGAATACTTTCGCAAGGCACTGTACATACATTCATGGTGTTGCCAGAGGTCATGTTGGATATCCCAGATATTGAGATCGGAGCAGTCCCAAAGTCCTTCCGAGCGACGAGCGCAGTCTTAACACGCGGCAGGAAAATCCATCAGATTTTTTGTTACAATAATCGGAGCGTTCTTACGATTGTCGTAGGGGCAAATCGGGTCCAAAATCGACCTAATTATCCTGCCGTGTGAACCAGGCTTAAGTGATCGGAGGCTTTGATGCACCAGTGTGTTTGGCATCTCGCTTCTGTCTTCACAGTGTGGGGTGTGAATGGAAAATATAAGTGTCTGTGAAATGTGCCGTAAAAATAATGTACTTACTCTACTGCTATATAAACATCGCTCCCCTATTGCAAAGAAAATGCACGTATGATTATTATTGACGCCTAAAATACATTTTTGTATCTGTCAATTATTGAAGTTGATTATATAGTGATCAGTGATTTAATTTGAATATACATAATATCTTGCACAAAATAGACAATTTTAACCTTTTAACATATTTGCTCACTTCCTTCCTTGTTCCACACCCTTTAGTAATCTAATTTCTCCATTGTGAGATTATTAAAGTTCATTTTAACTTACCTGAGTGAGAATGACGCAGTTCCCTCTGTCTCCACCAGGTGTACTCCTTGCAGCACAGTAAAGAGGACCGGCTGGCATTCCTGGACCACATTGCCGGGGGAGAGATCACCTTGATGCTTCTGGAGGTGCTGTTCGGGGTCCTGGCTCTGGCCTTCCTCTCCGGGTGGTACATACGTCACGCCGCTCAGATCCTCGCCATCATCCTCCCGCTCGTCATCCTGCTCATCGACGGCAACCTCGGATTCTGGCACCACACCCGGAAGGTGGAGTTCTGGAACCAGATGAAGCTGATCGGACACAACGTTGGAATCTTCGGGGCCGTGCTCATCCTGGCCACAGACGGCTGAAAGTCGCACGCCGCCGTTAACTGAACTCTGCGTCGGAGATTTGTTGCTTCTCAGGAAAACTGTAATTGCTGAGATGATTGTGTGCCTGTTTGGGAGCGTTTAAGGCCGAAATGATAAACACTCCCAAGAATCCATAATTTATTTAAAATTGTGTTTACATTTGTTTCTTATGCTCTGTACTGACAGTAAAGTATTGATACTGTTCGATATCTGCAAAAGTGTAAAGTCTTAAGGCTTTTCTGTTGATGGGGTTTGCTCCATTCATCTCTAAACCATTTAGCATTATTAAGGGAAATTTAGTCAAATCTCTTTGTATTGAATGTAAAAATATCAAATCTCTTTTCACAGTGATGTCTTTGTGCTGGGTCTTTAAACATGCATTCATATTTGTAAATTGGAAAAACATCATGAAGTAAGAAAATCCCTACAAGGAAAGTCCGACGTCAAAATGCAACATAATAGGAACTTGTATTTTTAATATAAATAAGTTACTATAGTATTGTTACCACTTTTTTGTACTTAGTCATTAAAGAGCAGCTGTATTTGCCCTTCTGTCTGCGTGACTAGTGTGATGTTGTCCGATGTTGTTAATCCTCATGTCTTGTGGAAAACAATTTGTCTTCTTTAATCCTTTTAGTGAAGCCTAAACCTGATTTTGTACAAAATGTTTCCAATAGAATTGAGCAGCACAAAGTCCCATGTCTTTCACAATACACACTACAATATAACCGTAGCCATATTATAAATATCACCATGTTAAACTTTTCAGAGGCTTTTACTTATTGCCAGATAGTCATTGTAATGTTACACGTGGAAAATCCCTGTTATTCGAAAGATCAGAGTAATATACAGAAACAATGCCATTGCCTCCAGTCTTATTTTTCTCGTATTTCTCTCCTTGTGGTTACTTACCGAATTTACATTTCACTCATCAATATCTTCAAATGAATAACTGCTCCTCTTTTGTCTCGTTTTTATTGTTTTTAATTGTTTGGTTGCCTTGGAGTATTGAGTAAATGGAAAACTAAAAAAGGCCATAATTACAATGTGCACATGTCGTCTCCCTGGAGATATGGCTTGGCCTGTACGGTCCACAATATGGCATTGTTCAACACTATGGTCTCAATCTCTAGATCTGCCTGAGCAAAACAGTTCACATCGCCATGGAGACAAGTAGACGGCTGCCCTCCACTTAAAAAGGTTACACAGAATATATTTAATGTGTGCAAACATGAGTAGATGAAATGACATCACATGATAAATCTATATCCATTGGTTTCCCGTGTGGTCCCTGCAAACTTCTTTTTACTGTATCTTCCATTCACAAACACTTTCATTTATCCTGCTTCTCTTCCTCCGAATCATTTTGACTCTGCTTGTTCTTCTGATTGCGTTCAGCTTTCACCAGCGCCCCGAACACCGCCAGCAGCACAGTGATGGTGATGATCAGAACAGACGCCGTTTCTGCCATGCACAACTTGCTGTCTATGGAGGTCAGCGAGCTCCCTGCCAGCTGAGGGGGCGCGTGGCAGATTATGTCCCCGTAATCTACAACGTGCAAATGCTTAACGTACTGGATCTTGCCAAAAACTCTCTGCAACTCACAATCACAAGTCCAAGGATTTAGGGACAGTTTCATATGGGTGTTTGTGGTCTGCAGCTCTAAAAATGTCTTAAAACGAATATGGACCAGTTGATTTCCATGCAAATTCAGCACAGTTAGACTTCTCAAAGGGGTGAAAGCTCCATTTTTTATTGTTGATATGTTATTGTATCCCAGGTGTAGGACTTGGAGTTTCTGCTGTCTGCTAAACAAGTGATCCACTACGACTTTTAACTGATTTCCCTCCAGGTTGAGGTAGTCGAGGCGAGATAGGCTGTTGAACAATCCGACTTCCAGAGACACGATCTGGTTATAACTCAGGTCCAGTTTGCGGAGGTTTTCTAGGTCCATCATGGAAGTGGGGTCCAAGAGACGCAGGAGGTTGTGGTTCAGCAAGAGCTCTTGGAGTGAGAACAGTTTTTTAGAAAAGTCTGAAGGTAGTGTTTTGAGATGGTTCTGACTCAAGTCCAAGCGCTCCAGAAACTCCAGCGATGTCAGAGACTGCAAGAATAAAATAAATGTGAAAAGTTTGATTATGACTTTTGTTAACATGCAATTGTCCTAGAACAATAAAAGGAGTTCCTAAATTTGTTTCAGCAAAATGTTTTGCAATAGTGAGAGAGTAAAAGGTTGTGAACAAATCAGACTACAGAAATTCATCTTATTTGAAAGCATTCTTGGAAGAAAGTCACTATTTGACATTTTGGGCTGAGAACAGATTTCCTGGGTATTCACTTTTCTGTCTGAAAAAGCTGATCTAAACATAGAGGCCCAAAATACATATGAAGACAAATTAAAGTTCTGTTTTGAGATTAAATAATTGGTTGGATTGTATCGGTTACATTATGTTGTGGTTTGAAAGTTAGGTACCCCGGCTTTAAATGGTTTGAAATTTAGGTACCCCAGCTTTAAGTTTCTGGATGCCCAACCACACAGGCAACATGTGCTATGCGTCTTATTTTATTTTAAACAAACAGCCCATCCAAAGGGGTAAAATGAAGCAAACACTTTAGTCAGAACACACCCACTCATCCAGACGGACAATAACATATTTCATCCTCGAACAGGACAGACAGACACAATCCCTCTCTGACCTACACTGCTCTCTCCTCGCTCTGTGCAGAGGGCATCACTCTCTTTCCTCCCCATAACATCCTCGACAAACATTTTCCAGCAGGTAAAAGTGTTGCATTTTTCTCAAGGACACAATACCTCAAAACATACTGTTGGGAAGAATACTTTGATGATCATGTTTTCTTGCATGACATGGTCAAAGTCCAGTATTCTGAATACTGGAATTAATGACAATAAAAGGTATTTTCATTTTTCCAACTGGATTTGAGTCTGTATAATCTTAACTGATTGAATTTGTAATTGTCTAAAAAAGAAATTCCTGTGTTCCAAAATTGAAATGAAGACAGTTTTTGTTATAAGAACCTATTAGTTTATGTGTGCAGTAAACCAGGTGTCAAAAGAGCTAAATAATGGAATGAACATACATTTTACAGAATACTTTCTCCAGTTTCCATGTTGTGATGTCAGATGCCTTCTGTCAGGCATCGCATGTGTATCAAACGGAATTGTGCACACCATTAATCCATGTTAATGTACTGTATATAGTTTATGGTTAATCCCTGGGAAAGTGCACATGGAGGTCAATCGAAGCTGCAAAAACGTCTAAAGTCTAAATAAAACTACTTTGATGCAGTCTTCAGATATTAAGTTTAGGGCAGTCGATCACAAAAATTTCACTTTATAGTCTGTTATATGTTTAAATCCATACCTGTGGGTGTAGAGTCTGGAGGCTGTTGTTTGAGATGAGGAGGATTCTGAGAGACCACAGCCCCCCAAAGGAGCGCCTCTGCAGCTGTGTGATCTTGTTCCCGCTGAGATCCAGGAGCCAGGTCCCATGTGGCACTGCGGACGGGACGCTGGACAAACCCCTCGACTGACAAGCCACCAAATCAGACTCCTCGTAGCAAAGGCAGTGGACCGGACACATCTTAAAGCCTACAGCAGACTGCCCCAGGACGACCAGGGCCAATGCAACATTCATGGTTCTGGAATCGTTGCTTAAAGGGACTGCAAACATCAACACGCTACAGCAGAATGCAGTTTGAGGACATAGTATTCCTGATTAGAGACGGCTTATGAGCTTAAAATGACCAGCCAACAGAAATATGACCTCATCAGTGAAGTGAACCTTTGCATTGGAGCCAATCCTAAAACAAGGATTTACATCTGCAGAGATAAAGTTATGAATCTACAAATTTTAAATCGGGTGGGATTTAAAACATGATGCATCAATGGATTTGGTTATGTCATGATAATTCCAAATTTCAGGGAAACATTTTAGCTGGAAAGTGAAAGAGTTTGCGAGATTGAGGACTTCATGTTCAGCAATTGTCAAACAGAATATCTTTATGTGTCCTACTGGAGATGGATTCAATCAGAAGGAGTTCTGACCTCACTTTTAATAAGTCAACTCAAACATACCCACACAGAAGGTAGCACTCACCCCACACCCCAACTTTGAAAGAAATCTCACGATGCACACGGCTTTAGAGAAACCAGAGGCTTAAAGCATTTAAATAATTAATGTGAGAGAGTGATAGGCTCGGTGATCTGTACTTACAAGGAAGCATCACAATAAAGCTGCCGTACAATCCCTCAAATAAGAAAGTAGAGCACCGAGTTACACAAGAACTGGCCGGACACTTAACAAAAGATCAAGTTTTAGGACAAACACATGTTCAGTTGTCAATGTTCATTCATAATACAAAAATCAGGGTTGAAATAAAAATGTTTGCAAAACTTATAAAAAAAGCCCTTCAAGAAGTTGTTGAAATTACAGTCAGAATTTTTGTTACTTTTATTTTAGAAAATGTCCTTTAAAGTGTGGCGTTTCAAGTCACATTTTTGTTTTAAAATACAGAAAATACAGACAGTAGAACATGGATACAGAAAAAAAAGGGAAAAGGAAACGGTGACAGAAAATAAAGCTAACAAGCCTTTCTGACTGCTCTAGTTCTCTCTTTTTTGAAATGGACCTGAAGGCAAAGGAAGGAGGGCGGAAAAGAAAAGGCGTCACGGAGAGGGGGAGGAATGGGGCAGATGAGTTAGTCAAGGAAACTATGGTGGCTTTATGGTTCATGTTTAAATTATTCTTTATAAAGTCTAATTTAAGATTTTAATCCTCTCTTTTTTTGTCTTTTTCATTTATTGGTATTTTGATCTTCAGTATCCAGGGCCCTCAGTGCTCCCCCTTGTGGTCTCAGACTGAGGACAAGGAATGCCGACTTGGTCTGGCAGCGGGAACAGAACGCCTCCCGACAGAGCCGTGCGGCCGACTCAAGAAGATAAAGTGGAGTCCTTCTGTGTTTGCTGTGCTTGTGAACGTTGCATGGACTTCTGACTTTCCAAGTCTCTAAAATGTTTCTCAACCTGTGGACAGAGAACACGTGGGGTTAAAGTTCACTCCAAGACAAACTCCGGGAGATAACCGTGTGTGAAGGTCGCGACATTCACCAAATTCAAACATGATAGTGGCTAATACTGAAGGGATTATTTGATTGAATGGCAAACATGTAGCCCTAACCAAGCACTTTTAATTAAATTATTATTACAAACATTACATTAAAATCAGTATCATACACAAACATAAGACACTACGCATTTTTCAAAACCATCAAACATGTTCATTGTTCTCACATGAAAGTGAGAACAAGTTCAATGCCTTTTTCTTGACCTTTGTCACAGCCCGTGATCAGATCCGCTTTTTCAAAGAGAAAAGGAGCCCAAAAGTCTCTCTCATACAAAACTGCCATTTTTACCGGGAGTTCTCTGACAAGATGAAGACCACACCATTTGTTTATAAAATGTTCCTTTTACAAGACTAAGATGTGGCATTACTTGATATAGAAGACTCCCCTGATGTATATGAAATAAAGCTTGTAGAAGGAGGTGGTCAGGGTTTAGATATTTTAGGAAATACAAATAAAAAAACAGGTATTCACTATTTTTGGTGTGTGGTCTGGACAGTTGTCTGTCTCAGGCTTTCTTTTCCACCACATCTGATAAATGCTCAGCCGCTCAGTCACTCCCGCGCGCACACACACACACACACACACAAACACAGTAGTAGCGAGAAGTACTTACTATTTTGCGTACATGACTTAAAGCGCTTCCCTCTTTGCCCTTGCAGTTCTCGGCCTGGTAAGGCGGTGAGATTACGACGTCGTCCATCACAATAATGTTCTTCTCCTGCCATTTGCAGTCTTTGATGCTGTTGAGATAAGAAAACCTTTCATACACAGTCGGAACACTACAAGGATGTCAATCTTGAGGTCATCACAAACTGATGAGATTATTCAAATGAAATCACAAGACGTTAGGAAACCTGGAGACATCTATGTGGTCAAATTGGAAAAAATAAATCTGCCTAAAGAGCCTAAAAGCACGAAAAGGTACCGAGACATGTCAGGAAAGACTGTAAAATGTCGACTTCAAATCATTGGCTTGAGCACGTCGAAGGATTAAGACTCACGTTTTGTGAATAGTCTGGAATAGCTGTTGGCCCTCCGCAGAAACCCCAGCACTGATTGCATAGGCTTGGGACAGCTTGTCCTCCTTTTCTGTCCGTGCTCGATTGGCAAGCTGCAAAAGAACAGCAAACACATGTTGAGCATAATTTATCCTTTCAAACTAAGAATAAAGGGAAAAGGAATTCTACATTACACAAATGACACAGTACCATGAAGGTCAAATATTGAGAGGGAAGATTTTTTTTCTACATCATTTATGACTAAGTCGTAACAAATAAATTCTGATATTAACTGTATTCCTCCAGTTTATACAGTTTCACCACCTTTTGTCTGCCTAAAGGGTTCATTTAAGGTTAATCTGTCATACTTGACCAGCAGCTTTCTTTTTAAAACATGCCGTTGATGAATCATTATCAACCAAATAAAATGATTTACTGATCAAAGAACAGGATATGACTGCTTCCAGGTTCATTATAGAAGCCTGGTTACCACTGATGTGATCGACGTAAAAGATCTATACAATTCTAGACCATTTGTCACTAAAGCCACAAATCCAAACAAGCAGAGATAAGGACTTTGAAGTATTGATATGCACTTACCTTGCTAACATTCAGAGATGCTAGAGGAGGAGGAGTCTCGGTGCGTTCATTAATAACGTCCACAGCAGAAACATAGGCTAAGTTGATCAGGATGACGTCGTTAAGGTTTGGCTTTCCACTGGAGGAAGCACATTCTTCGGGAAGGCAAGGTCAAGGTGCAATCATTTTAGGTGAGAAAACGACATTACACTTACACACAGACACCATTTGAAAACTATGAGTTAGAAGTTGTGAACTACAAGACAACAGTGACAGGGTGGTACCAGCTACAGCTGCACCAGAGGACCGTGCTGCCACTCAGATGAATGAAGCAGCTCTAGCTTTGTAGTGTTTGACTAGAATTATTAGCCAACATTAGATTGTCAAAATATCATCATACATAATTTTAAACATCAAGACTAGAGGTTTACAATGTGTGTCAGTATTACAGGCAGCACATCCTGTCAAACTTGCTGTATGACTCTAGAAGTTAAGCTTTTACTGCACAACACAACCTGCAGCCTTAAACCTCATGAAACTGGCTTTATAGAAATACACAAAACAAAAAGGTTTTAATAATGTGACCACGACTCCTCCATAAACTATTCCTCCAGTGGTCTGTGTAATAAGATTGAATGTAATGATACAATGGGACTCACTTGAATCTTTAAATATTTTGTACTGAGCAAAGAGAAACATTTTACATTTTGTTAGCATTTCTCTCTTTGTGCATAAGAGTCACAATCAGGGGGAGTAGGGACAGTCAATTGGCTGAAGTTAGAAAATTAATAGTAATAAATTTAATACAAAATGATACTTCACTTCAATATAAAGCTTCCAGTTTCACCAAGTAACCTTGATAACAAATAGGGAATACAATACCGCTCAATTCAAAATTTAAAAACATCAAAATCAAAACATAGTAATAATAATAGTCGGGTAAGGGTTAGGTTAGCTGGCTCCAGAAAGGAATACCAAGACTTTAGAGTGACCAGCATGTCACATTCATCCAACACACCCACGTTCACTAGAGTAGGCATTTCTGACCATTGAGCTAACGATGGGTGTAACGCTGCTAAGACATGCACATGACGCCCTGGCACGATTGAAAACATGCACGCATTTCAATCAGATCTAAACATAAATATCGATATGAAGTCCACGATTCATTGACAAAAAGTAGGCATGGATTGGCGAAGAGACGGTGAATAGTTACCACTGAAGCTAACGAAACTTAGCATATTAGCTGAGCTAGCAACAACTTGGCTGTAGTGTGGACGGCCAATCGGCGTTCATTCATCCTTTAGCCTCTAGCCGAAATAGCTAGCATTCCGCGAAGTCCAAAACAAAATTGCATTGTGACAGTGGCAGACACGCAGTTATAACTAATGGAAGGTGACATTTCAGGAAGGTCGGCGAGTAGTAGCGATCTGAGGCTGGGGAGAACACCCAGCCATGATGCCTTACTGGGATCCCCTGCCAGATAGTGATCCATGTTGAGATCCAGTAATACAATGAGCTGATTCAAAACACATGCACTCCTCAGCCCATTGGGTGAACCCGTGAAATGACCCTGCGACTTCACCCCCCAACGCAAACAAGAAGTGGATGCAAGATCAACACATATCTTAGAGCAAATATTCTATAAAGGACAAAGATAGCCAACTCCACTGCCAGCAATTACGCCTGCGCGGACCACTATTTGACACACACTCGGTTACCCTACAGGCCCTTGCAGCCAGGCAGGCCAGCGGGCCATCCAGCCTCAGCGCCGACAAACAAAGGATACTCAGAGTTAACATCTTGGACTGATAATCAAACGCGACCACTTCTCCATTGAGTCGTTGGCCCAAGCAGGTGAGGCAAGAGACATGGCTCCCGACGCTGAAATACTCCCCCGGTCCAGGAGCCGCCATCTTCTCCGCCAGGAAACCGGAGCGCCTGCCGCACGTAAGGCGACGTGATGGCGTGTGCAGCCAGAGCAGGGCGTGCCGTCCTACGTAGTGCGTGAGGACGTCCATAGAGCTAGAGAGCAACACATGAAAAGACCACTTTATATACGGTCTTCATCAACACATCTAAATTACTAACAAATTAATATGTTGAAGAAAACATTTTCAGTCTATGAGGAATACTTAGTAAATATAGAAAAACCCTGAGACCATCACTGAAGTGTCCTTAGTGTGGAGCAAGTTACTTTCAAATTGTAGTAAATGAATGACAATATTTTATCTAAGTGACACACATGTGCTTAGCCCACATGGGCAAAAGTCACACATAACACCACAACACATAGGACGGGTAGTAGTTACATTTCCATGTTGTTTTGTTTTACTGTTAAACAACTAAGAACAAAAACACATCGGTTTGGGAAGATGTGCCACATGGCATTATTCATACATTCCATGCAGAGTGGTGGTAAACTCTAAGTAACTGTAATTTATCAACTTTAGCTATTTTGATAATAACATAATCTAAATTCTAAAGTGTGTGCTATGACAATTAAGTGCCTCAGCTCTTGGGTAAGATTGATTCAATTAAAACGTGTCCTGATAGATACCATTTGGATTCCTCTGCATTGTTAAAAACCACCATAAAATAAATGGTATTTCAAACAGTAAAAGAAGTCATTTTGCAAGGTAATTCAGCTCATGTCAATACGCAAAATGGCCGATGCAACTGCCGCCCTCTAGTAGCCCTTCTATAGTGTCATCAAATGTAACGTTATTCACTACATTTTATTCCAAATGTAATATTTAATTACAGGTAAGTATTTTTCAGTCTTGAACAAATATAGCTACACTAATACAACAGGAGCCCCATTGTAAAATGTGACCGCTGTTTAACCTAACGCTAAGAGTTACAATAGCTCCCCCTTCCGGCGGACAGAGTTATGACGTTTTACAGCAGTTTCCTCAGGACATCAGCATCCCTCCCTCCGAACCAGCTGTTTCTGATGCTATAGCGTTGTAGAACTTTGTTGTGAATGTCCTTTAGACATGGAGACTCTTTACATCTATGGAACATGGATGGCAGAATATCTCCAACGGAGCACGAAGACTTATGAACGTTTCTGGCTTGTGGTCACACATCTTGGAGATCCCAAGGCTGCGTTTCTGCTCGTCTTTCCATTCTCTTATTTCTTCAGTAAACGAGTGGGCATCGCCGTTCTTTGGGTGGCGGCCATTTCTGAGTGGCTCAACTTGGTGTTAAAATGGTAAACGTCAAAGTGACTTCGCTCAATAACGTAGTCATCATTTCACGTCATGTTTCTTTGAAAACACTACCTTCGTTCAGGACTAGTTGGTTAATTATCTATAAATGCGTTTCTGCAGCTAATTTATTGGCCTCATTTATTTATGGTTAGGGTTATTATGGTCTTCTGTAGGAAAAAATAACAAATAAGTTTGTAAACGTTACCACTTCCGGATGATGCGCCCCTTCTTCACCGATCCGTGTGAAACAAGCGTTGCGGAACCATTGTATTTAAAGCAAAATCCAAAATTGTGAGCAGTAATTGACAAAGATAGTAAAAAGTACAAGTTTTGATACTAAAGTAAATGTATTGATACTGGTATTAAAATAAGTCTGATAAAAAATAAAAAGTATTGAATTAATTCATGTCCCTAAAGTATAAAAGTACTAGCTGTACAATACAGACATTCTTAGCATTTCATAGTGACATGCAGTTTCATACTGACACAGAAAAAGATAATAAACAGGATATGCACTACCCAAAGAGGCATTATGTCGGGTTTAAGAACATTTTTGATTCCAACAATCACATTGTACTAAAATGTCACAATCTCAAGTTTGTTAGATTGCAATCATTGACAGCTGAAATAAAATCAAAAGACACCAGTTATGTGAGAGTAACAATGAGATGGGCTGAAGAAAAGTTACACTTTAATTGCCTCACTCTCTAGTTTGTCCTTGACTTTCACTAACATTAGGTACAGTTAAATGTTTGGCAACAGAAATATTGTTTTTGTTGTACTAGTTGTTTTGTTTTAGGTCAAGTATCAAATTCCAATTCAAAGTTGCAAATGGTCATTACCATTCTACTGTGGAAAATGTTAGTCCATACGATTCCAATGTGTGTGGTTACACCTTTAATTACTATTAGCAACCTCTTACTATGTGACTATGTATTTTTTTCAGGATGCTGTTTGGAGAAAGGCCATATTGGTGGATTCGTGAAAAGAATCTCACAATCAAAGTGCAGCAGTTTCCCTCCACCTGCGAAACCGGACCAGGTAAAACATTGCAGTATCAGAACCAGAGCTGGCAGCTTCCAACTTGCTGAAGTTGCACTTATAGTAATATTAGCAATAGTACACTATGAATCAGCTCAATTACTAGACTTGGATTTTGTGGAATTTGTGTTTGTTGTCCTGACTCCTTCAAATGAAACGTTTTTTTAAATTTCACTTGGGTCGTTCAATTGCTTTCTTTTGATGTACAATCATTGACCTTTGAGAACAATATTGGATACTATTATACAGACAGGTCAAGAATAAAGGATCTACTTTACCACTTGTGATCTTCCACAGGGAGTCCATCGGGACATTCGATGGTCACTGCTGCTGTCTGGTATGTTGTGTTTTTTGCTATGGGGCACTTCATTCACAAAAAGACTAAAAGGTACTTTAATATTAATTATAGTTTAAAGTTTAAAGCAATTTCCTAGTCTGTGACCTCCTGTTACTTACGTGGCAATAAAAATGATTCTGATTCTGATTAAATTGGATTCACGTTGGAATCACTTCCTGTTTCCAGATTTCTGTTAGCAGCTTGGGTTCCCTACTTGCTCTTTATCGTCTTGGTGTCTGCAGTTGGAGTCTCCAGGATTTACATTCTTGCTCATTTCCCTCATCAGGTGGTCTTTGGAGCCATTACAGGTCAGACAACTTTGCTTTTATACACACATGAACACAATTAGTGGGATGTGAACACTATGAGGACACCAATTACTGTTACTGTGTATTGTATTGTAAAGAAGATGAAATATGTCATGGAGACAGGCGGCTGTATTTGTACCTCTCCTCACACGCGTCCTCGCCATTCTCTGTGATTGACAGACATGTGGTGACATTCATGTATTATTACATAAAACCATTGTTAGTTTTTTGTAACTGTAACCTGTTTAAAACAAGTGCTCCCCCAGATGTTTGGTTCTCATAGTCCATTTTGACACTTTGCTACACGCAGGATCTCCTGGACTCATAACGCTGACTTGACCTGAAACATTGATCCTAGACTGTTGATCACTTGGTTATTTCACATGTTTTAATTATGACAGGCAGCCAAAACATGTTAACAAGTAATACATCTAATTTGTCTTTCAAACCAAAAAAAGAAACAATATTAAGCATCAGAACTGACATCTAGATTTCTTATATTGAGTTCAAATGTCCACTGCTTTATAGTGAATATATAAAAAAGTATTTTGTAGCAGTGTCATCGCTGTGGTTATGCTGGCAAAAATTCGTTTTACAAGATGAAATCAACAACGAAATATTAATTAGGTTTGATATGTAAGTGGAACTATTGCTCAAATGTTGTGAAACTATTTTACTATACGTTTGAACAGCTCTGTCTGCAATAAAAACCATATTTATACGAGGGTCCCTTCTCAGGTCTGATTCTTGGAGTTGTTCTTGGCCAAAGAGTTCCAGAAGGTCGCCCACTGCGCTTTTTCATCACATTGAGCTTTGGACTTCTGCTGAGCGCCGTCCTCATCCACGCTGCTCTACAGAACATGGGAATTAACCTCTCCTGGTGAGTGTGCAATGAAAGAAATCCTGCACGTACCGGTCCTTATGATCAGCCACAACAATATGGACTCGGCAGTCGGCACAGAACATTTGTCATTTTAGATTTGATTTCAAACATGATTTTATTGTGCTTTGGAACATTTTGTGTTAATACGTGGGTCAATTATATTCTGATGATCCCCATTTTTATTGCCACTGATCCCTCTTGGATTGGGTTGCACAGGTATTTTGGCACGAATGGGAAACGAGAAGCCTGAATCATTATTTTTTAAATATAAAACGTAATAGAAAAAAACATAAATGCAAAAGCATAATCCACAACTCAACTGCAAAACTAACATTTCTTCAAATTGAGTGAAATGTTAAACTAGTAATACTGTACAATCGCCCATTCCGGTTTTGTTTTGCCAACACTGGCATAAATTGCTTGAAATAAGATTTTTTTTTTCAAATCATAGGGCATAGAATATTCTAGAGTTGAAATCAGAAACATTTAAAACAATACAGGCAGTAAATGGAATTAAACTCATCAAAAATCCATGGTCACAATGCTGAAATACATGTGTAAGGTTAAGGTTAGGTTTCATGTTTGAGCAACAGGTCTACAGTTCGTTTTTTTATTCATGCCAGTATCCCGCAGGTCAATACGTTTGGCAACAAAGTGGTGCGAGCGTGCAGAGTGGATCAGGCTGGACACCACGCCCTTCTCCTCCCTGACCCGGGACTGTGGAGCCCTGCTGGGTCTGGGTCTGGCTCTGCACTGGAGGCCTGGGGGGTGGCCCTTGCAGTTCGGACCCAGAGCTCTGTCGTTGGCCATCTCCTCCATGGGGCTGTACCACGTGCACCGCCTCCCGCTGCCTGTAAAGCCACAGCTGCTTTTCTACTGTCTTTTCTTTGCAAAGTATGTGGTGGTGCCTCCGCTGGTCATGGTGTTGGTGCCTGGACTCATCCATTTCTTCACAAAAAACACGAGGACGAATTAGAAGTGTGGATAATTCCATATTTGTTTCGACGTTCTTAGTTGTCGGTCTGTTCAGTCATTCTGTTGTTCCGTCAAATTCACTCCATGTGCTACATTTGGGTACGTTTGTTTTCTGAGATTTTACTGTTAAGTATTTTGCACTGTTGATACAGATAAGGCATGATTTGCGTCAGTGCAGTGTCTGTGCTGTGATGTTACTTTGAAAATGGCGCCATCTAATGACCAATGTTTGTCAACCCATTTTCCTGTAAGGCCACTCCATTATGAGATGGGGTACCTACCTTTCAAAACCATTAACAAAATTCAACCAATCAGCTCTGTCAAAAGTGTCAAATAGAGTTTTAAAATGAGATGCAGACATTTGGGTTACAAGACAAAGTATTTATCTTGAAAAAAGGTTATGCACCCGAAACTTTATTCTTTATAATGCCGAACAAGGGGTCTTTGTTATGTTTGGACAAACATACTTCAAATATAGTGTTAGTTTGTTATTTAATAAATTAATAAACAGCCCATGCGCATGTGTGATTCTGTTGATAACCATTTATAAATGTCATTGTTCCAATACATATGACTGTACAGATTACAATCAGTTATCATGAGATAAAAACACATTCTTTTTATTGTTTTTAATTCAACTTTAGTCACAGCGATCTGAAAGCTCACATTTACAGACAAGAGAACTCTGCTCAGCAAGCAAACACATGAAAATAAAAGAACCTTTTGTTTGTTTGGTGCGGCAGGAGCTAAAAGGGGAAGGACGGGTCGGAATAGCACACTCCTAATGATCCCATTTGTTAACGTTGTGCCCTTCAGTCGGGAGACGGAGCTCATGGAGAAGAGGACATGCACCAGACTATTTACAGCAAATTAATACACACAGACAGCGCAAAACCACACCCTCAGATGAGAAGTCTCCTTTAAAACAAGTATGGTACATTTGAAACCTTCATATCCGTAAAGATATATGTACTATATCTTTCTCTGTAGCTGATAAATCTGATTATTACTAATAGAAGGCAATTACAATAAGAACCACCTCTTTGTAGATACTCTATCAGACAATCAAAATATACAGTTACAGACAGTGTCTATAACTTTTATCCACATTTACAAATATTTTTTACTTTATAGTGCTGCTTGTTCTAACACCCATACTCCAATATACATATGGATAAACTCAGTAATATCATTTTCCAGTAGATGTGCGTAAACCAGTGGATTAGACAACTGATTTAACAATGTGGGATAATAATAATCTTCTCTTTACATACCCGAACCAAAGCCACTATATACAACTTGTGCTAGAAAGTCTATACATCGTCATCCAAATAAAAACATTGCTCTTTGTGTTCATTCATCACCGCTGCAAGTAAATAATAACTATGATAGTCTCACTGGTCGGACTGTTCTGACCGGCCACACATCCATGTCTCCAATCGAACAATAAAATAAGTAAATACATAAAGTGCACCCTTAGTTAAGAACTTAACAGGCTTTATAGTGCAGAAGTTTAGGAAATCATTATCGTTACAAATAAAAAAGTGTAGAAGGAAAAGAGATGGACAGTGGTTGTGTATGCATTTGCTTGCTAGTCTCTGAGCACTGCCCTGTGCGGAGGAGGGACAAAGGCCAACTTCGAGAGCCATGAGGCGGCATGGGAAAGTCACACGCAACTTTTCTTTTATCTTATTCTAAAAACACAAATATTGCACTTCCCTCTCATCCTGAACACAGTCCCCACAGACCACAGCAGTGATCACTTCAACAGTTCCAGAAGAAAACCGTCTCTTGTTGACATCACACTAAGGCATGGAGTACGTCATGTAAGGTTAATACAGCAGGTCACTTCAAATCAAATTCATCAAATAAAATAATAATAGAACTCTAACCAAATAATGTAATTTAAAACAATAAGAAAGACCAATATATTATCATGAGTTCAAACTCTATAATAGCTTGTCATTTAAAAATATTCCGTGCCGTAAACACGACAACAAAAGCTTCACTCAATGGAGGTAATAATGTCATATCAAAGTTCGTCGTTGCCCCTCGTTCTTTGACATTGCTTTTGTCAGTATCCCTTCTGATCTGACGCTCTGTGGGACGCCAAGGCTGGAGTAATAGAATACATTTCAAATGCAAACTATGTCTGTTCTATGTTTATATACAGTCTATAACTTAAATATAAATATGAGCATCTTCTCTAAGTACTGAGTTTTTGAACCATTTGTATTTTCGGAGCAATGTACACTATTGAACATAGAATATTGTATTACATTGAATAGGGCCTAGCAACCTTGTTTAAGAGCACACTTTGAAAGAAGAAGAGATGGAGAGTCCACAAGTCGAGTCGATTGATTAATACCTTCTCAGTCCATTTGTTGTATTGATGTGAAGTGGTTTTTGAAGGAACATGAAATGACCCACTTGTACCTGTTAACCCTGATAATGAAATAATGGGACTCATGTTGATCTTGTAAGTCCGAAGTGTGCACCCGCTGCAAGGTTAACGGTGTCCTTTAGTCTTTTTTCATCCTGGTCACATTCTGCAGTTTCACACAGTCCTCTCACTCGGAGCCCAGTCAAACCCTCCATTCATCCACAGCGTCACACATTCGACTCCACAAACGGTCTCTTTGGTTTGATGGGAGAGGGGGGGCCTTGGGAGCGGGAGTCGCGGGACATCTGCCGGTACATGTTGTCCTGGTAGGCCTGTGCCACAGGCAGAGTCCTGGCCACTTTCACGTCGGGGTAGGTGGGCACCTGGCTGACCCGCTCCAGAATGTCCCCTCCACCACGGGAGCCGTTGGACAGCTTCCCCAGGGAGGGGGGCTGCGTCTGGTAGTAGTCCTCCTCCAGCAGGTGTCCGTTTTGGGCATTGTTGGTCTTGTTGTAGTAGGCAATATTTCCCAGAGAGGTGGGGGGGCTGTAGGTGGAGCCCTGCTGCACGAGCTGCCCCGGCGAGGTGGGGCTGATGGCAGAGTCCATAGAGGTCATTGGCCGTGTCCTGGAGGGCTGGTGCAGGTACTGCTGAGTCCGGGCCGTCTTGTCTATGATCCCCATGAAGGGAGTACTTCGGGAGCGAGTGCTTTCTCCCGGGTACAGTCCCCCGCCCTGAGAGGGGGAGATGGGGGAGATGTCGTCACAGGAGCGCTCATACGAAGCCTGCAGCGGGATCTCCATCCCGGAGGACGAGGGCCTGAAGCCAGGGGCCAGGTTTGAGCTGGAGCCTGTGATGTTGTTAGTGGAGGGGGAGAAGCGCAGGCCTACGCTCTGCGAGTGGATGAGGGGTCTGGGGGTGGTTATCTTCAGCTCAGTGGTGTTGGCGCTGACGGGTCGCCGCACCATATGAGGGATCTCCGGAGAGCCCAGCTGACACGGGGGCATGGCATTGGCCCGTTCCAGCACATGCTCGGACACAGGGTAGTAGGCCGCTGACTGGCTGCGGCTGATCTGAGGAGTCTGGGTGTACCGGATGCCCCCTGGACCCCCACTGCTGGCGCGGTAGGCAGAGGAGGGGCGCTGGGGCAGCTCGTCCTTCAAAAGGCCTGACTCCATAACCCCTCCTCGGCCGCCGTGCTGACAGAGGGCCCCCGAGCTGAGGCTAGCCTGGACCTGTGACATGGAGCGGTCCAGAGAGGGCTGGTACACCAGGTCCACAGACGCCTGATAGCGAGTGCTCATGGGGTGGCCTCCGTAGCTGCTGTTGCCCATGATGCTGGGCTGGTTGGTGCGGACGATCTGTGCGATGGAGGGTTGCAGGCGCAGGCCCTGGGCCTGGTGGTGCTGGGACGATAGCGATGGCTGAGAACTGAGCTGGAACGAGCGCTGGCTGCTCATTTTGGCCAGAGGGGACTTGGGTCGACCCGGGAGCTGCTCGGTCTGAAAGCGCACCGGAGAGCCGGACTGTGAGCGGTACATGCACACAGTCTCCAGTGGAGGACTGGCCCGGTACTGAGCGGCCCGGCGCAGGGGCGATGGAGGGGGGCTTTGGTCCATGCCTCCCGGAGGAGGGCTGTAGCGATAGGACGTCTGGTGCACAGGGGAGGTCTGAGGTGGGCTGTGTCTGTAGTGGTTCTGATGAGTGGGGGACAGAGAGGGGGAGGTGGGCTGGTATGAGCCCCGTGTGGGTGAGGACATGGAGGATGAGGTGGGGTGGTACTCGTAGGGCTGGCCCATGGGGGAGCCTCCAGTCAGATAGAGTTGGTCTGGGTGTGGGGGGGACAGTGGGGGGCTGTGGATGATTGGCAGGCTGGAGGTCTGCAGAGAGTCTGGAGGAGGTAGTCCCAGAGCCATGGCCTCCAGCTCCTGCTCCAGATAGTCCTCGTCCTCAAACAGGTCCTGCACCGGCTCCATGTCGTCCAGCCGCGGCTCCGGGGGCGGCGGCAGGGCGAGGGACAGGGACTCCTCATCATCAGGGGGAGGCGTGGGAGGGGGCGAGGGGGGAGGCTCCAGGTCCAGGTCATGAGGCTGGTCACCCTGGGTCAGCTGCCTGAACTCCTCCTCCACTCTCTGCAGCAGCCTTAAGATCTCACGGTTGTTTGGACACAATTTTAAGGCTTCATTCAGGTCCTCCATGGCTTCAGGAAATTGTCTGAAAAACAAACTAACATTAGAAAACAAAACCAAGTACATTTTGCTCATAATATGTGGGAGTGATACGTTACCTGCTGCTACGCTTCGCACGTGCCCTGGCGTAGTAGGCTTCATAGGATTTTGGTTTAATTTCAATTGCCTTTGTAGCGAACTCCTCAGCCATCCCAAAGTCCTGTAAAAATATAATATGACTTGTTGAATACACTAAATCAATAATCAGTGTTAATCTTTTTTTAGAACATTTAGAACAACACGTACGTTCATTTTCCTCCGACATCGAGAGAGGTTGAGAAAAAGTGACACTTTGAGTTCCCTGAAAGTCTTGAGGTCCTCGCTGAAACCCTCCCGCGGAAACTTTTTAAGAGCATATTGGTAACGCTGAGCTGCCTCCTTCACCTTCCCCTTCTGTGGGAGGAAACATTCAAACACTTTCTTAGGAAAAAACTTGTGTGTTTTTCATATTTTATAGATTTTGTTCATGATTTTTTTTATTTATTGTTCTAACTGTTTATATTAATTTTTCTAAAATCCATTTGCATTAAACAACTATGAACTTTGCCATTCTGGATTATTGTCTTTTGAACACTTTATAGCAGTACTCCACAAATTCATAGATAATGAAAAAAACAGATTCAAAAGGTAATGTTTTCTAAAAGGATGAAAACTGCATGTTGTGGTCTGATTTGGTCACAACATTTTACTATAAGACTCTTTCTGTTGGGACAAACATGTCTTAATTACATTCAAATATATTTGCAAATATCAAAGCTTCTTGTACCTTGTAGTAACTGTCCCCCTCCTCTATGAGTTTGCTGAGTAGAATGATCATGATGTCGGGTTTGGAGGTGGCCATGGCCCACGTGGCTGGACCTGGTAACACAAGAGGAGGGGCAGAGACCAGGGAAAGTGCACCATTAAATAAACTGGAATGAAATACAGCCATAAGGAAAGAGTTCACACAACAGTCAATACAAAGACAAGGAGATGGGGAATGGAGAGGTACAACAGGCAACCCACTGTAAAGAAATATTTTACAAAAGTTTACACAGTCCCCTCTGACACCTGGAAACACAATGACTTCAATGCTATGGCACATCCAACTTGGGCTAGAAAGTAAACACCAATAACTTTACTACAGTCGCTGTATGTTTTTAGCCATTACATTTGTCATTTTAAGAGATGGTTCCAAATACTTTTTAGTCCAAGGCGAATCTGTCTTGAGGTATACAATCTTTGGAATAACGTCGTCAAGTGGTGCAGATGTAATGTGATGGCAGGAGTGGAAAATTACTAAGAATACACAGGATGGTTCTGTATGCTGACTATTGGGTACATATGGATAGTTCAATAATTATACAGGTGAGATAATATGTTTACATTGAGGTAGTAATGACTTACGACTGAAACAAATATTTTCAACCATTTGCTTCAGAGATTTTCAAACAGCAAATCAGTCGGATTAAAATAAGTGGAAATGTATTGATCGAGCTCGAGCAAATTCAGTCAATTCTAATCACCAATAACAGGACTGTGTGTTGTAATCAAAGCCTCCACAATACATTTTCTGTCAATAAAGATTTAGGTTCAGAATATCAATTGAACGCTATTGTTGTCATTTCCATTTAGAAAGAAATAATCAATATGTTGATCAATGAGTCTAAACATGTTTTTCTTACATCGTCCAGCCCCATATCTCTATATTTATGTAATTTGTGTTCAATTGTCCGATTTTCCAAACTCTCTACTGTATAATTACACAAACTATCCATGCACACCACTTACAGGCCCTTTAAAAAGGAAAAAAATCCAAGTTAACCAAGGGAAAGATCAACAATGTCACTTTGTGCAACGACAATAACACGCACACTGGACACACACATTTACGACATTGATATACACAAATGTGATGCACACAAAAAGAGCACTGGCACAGAGAGACACAAAAGCAAGCAGAGAGGAGGTTATTGGGTAAGAAATGCTCTCGTAGCGGAGACAGATGATGCCGACTGGCCTAAGGCTGACATCGAGAAAATGTCTTGAAGATGAACGATGCACGGTACACAGCGGTTCATCACCTCAGTCTGCGGTGGTGACAAAAGTTACAAACGCATGCAATTTTGGCCGGATCACTATGAGGCGTTTTCGGAAAAAAAGGCTTCCCATCATGCAATAGGGGAGTATAGATGTGGAAAGGAAGAGGGGATGGTGGGGGCAAATCTCCATTCACAGCCTAAGCATGGAGGCCTATAACATGCTATTAAAACTCTTATACCTCCAGGGTAATCCCGCCTTTGTCAGTGCTACTACCTCGCATGATTTTGTGTAAATGATTTGGCAATTTTGCAGTCGGGTTTTGGGGGTAGCTAAGCTGGTTGGCTGACACTTGGGACGACACACAGACAACACAGAGATAGGAGATAGATTCGTCAAAATGCCTGGTGGGGTGAGTAGTCGACAGCCTTGGCTTTACCTCGGGATCGACTGGGCAGCGTCTGACATCCTGAAGCCGGGACAGTAGTAGTAGTAGTAGCGGAGGCGGAGGAGGAGGAGGAGGGTTGAGTTTATGAGCGAAAAAAAAAAAGAGTGGGAAAAAGGAGGTGTTCCAGGAGCAGATGTGGGCATGAGAAGTGGCGGCCATATTTGTAGGGATGTAGGAGTGTGCGTGGGAGAAGAAAGGAAGAATAAGAGGGAGAAAAAAAAGATGCAATGTTTTGTGGTGGTGGAAGAGGAGCAGCGAGAGGAAGGAAAACAAAAAATAGCTGCAGTGAGAAGCGCGTATTTAGATAAGTGGCGGTGTGCGTTTAGAATATTCAAATCAATTAAAAATAAAACGCCACAAGACGCTAATAACACAACCGGTCTCTGGGCAAACGGGGAGAAACGGACGAGGAGAAAGTGCTTCGACAGAGAGAGGGAAACACACAAAAGCAACAGTAGTAGGATAAGAACATTGAGCCAGAATTAGCGGAGAAGCAGTGCGCAGTAGGAGGGGGAGAGAGACCAGCCTAAACCCAGGGCTGTATGTAAAGAAACGGCTCATCGAGTGCGCTGCTTTGGGTATAAAACGTCTAAATCTTATGGGAATAGTTTAGTTCACAGTTGTTACATTGCTGGTTTGACTATTTTGACATAAAGGATGTATTAGTGGAAAGAATTGAGGGCTTTGAGGTAGAAGAAAAGCATAGGCCTCGTGTTTGTTGCTGATTTTTAAACTAGTAGTTTTCTCATTTATATATATTTCTGTACTTTTACGTCGTACTTATGAACCGAAATATCTGTAAATAGATGACAACACGACATAAAAACACGTTTGAAGGGGTTAACCATGCTTCTAAGTAAATTCATTCATTGTTGTAGCCATGCTTGTAACTGCAGTAATTCCTTGTGGTTAGCCATGCTTCTGTCCAAGCTCCAATTTGACTTGAAGTTCTGCAAGTTTTACTCATTTTCATATTTTCTGACCGTATGAAACATTTCAACACTAGTATGATGTTGTTTAAATGATTCAAATATCTCAAATACATTTAATGTCCATTAATTAGTCCACAAAAATGCTGTACAGAAATACTTCTATACCATTTTATTTTTATAAGAATGTATATTTCTAACCATGGGGCACTTTACTATTATACAGGAATTATGTTCCGACAATAATAGATTTTAAATGGTCCCTCCCCTTGGCAAAGCTACGACCAGTAATACTTTTTAGAGGACAATACTTGAACCAATTACAAGGGGCCTCAAGGGTTACAATTAATTTGAACCAATCAGGAGGCTACGGTGGTGAACATGGGCGGGTCTAACATCCGAGATTTGTGTACTTTTACCAGAGTTGATTTTGAAACTAGTGCCAATACTTTTGCCTAAGACTAGTACTTTCCCTGGCTACAGCAAATATCCACAACTGTATATGAAACGTTTTTGGGTAATGCTGCTATCCAGCTCTAAAAGAAGGCCAACTGCACATCAGATGAAATAGCTGAACAGAATATAAGCGGTCAGATGGCAAGTTCAAGAGTCCATTATGTGGTCTTGAGACTGACATAAAAGACTGCACGACTAAACTCCTAATACAAGAAAGTACAACATATAAAAATGTACAAGGTTATTGAACTGACAGCTGCGAGAAATGACTTCCTCTCGGTGCATTGGATCTGAGAACGAGGCATTTTCATCATTGACGTCTTCCATGCTGTAAGCCCTTGACCTTTTCAGCCACAATCCCATTTCCATGATCGCTCAGTTCTCAAGAGGCCAATAACGTTCCATTGTGATGTGAAGGAGGACGTAAATCGGGGGCTTTTTTACTTCAAGGTAACTTCCTTCCTCTTACCTATTTTGGCTCCTTTCTTAAGCAGTGCGACCACCACAGACGTGTTCCTGCAGCCCACCGCTCGGTCCAGTGGTCGCATCCCGCTGTAGTCCACGTGCTCGATCATGGCTCCGTGGTCCACCAAGAACTGAACCTGGAAAAGCAGCAGATGGGAATGATAGTGAGGGTATTGTAAAAAGATATGGCAAGTGAAAATGTCTTTAATCTATATCTGAAAAGTCACTATTGGTTATATGCTTTGACTATCAACTGTCCCTTTTTGCATATGGGGTCCTAATCTGTCGGGAAAAATGCCAAAATCAGGGAATCGGCTAGAGCTAGCTTATGTTCAAAGTGGCTTCTTTGATGATTTGCTGATTTTGATCCTCATTTCAAGATTCAAGAATTTATTTGCCATTTGCAGAAAAACCACATTGGAAAAACTGTGCAAGACTACTCCAGTGTGCACCAGACAGAGTAGATAATTTATATGAAGTCAGGGGTTTTGCTTGCTTCTTCATTATGCTAAAGTTGGAGATTTAAGACTTTTTACTTTATTAAGCTAAAGATAGAGATTTTACACTGCTGCTTTTTATGCTAGATTTTATGTTATTTTAGCATAGAGTTATTATTCATTTATCTTGTGTTGTGTGCTCCTCATTCCTACTGCTCTGTAACTTGTGATGCAACATTGACGTTTCCCCACTTTTTGACAATTCTAGGACCTCTTAATCTTAAACATATGATAGCTCTAGCCTTCATTAAAACATTATCTGTGGGAAGTTTGATTCTTACCACCTCCGAGTCTCCGTAGAAGGCGGCCAAGTCCAGTGGCGTGCGTCCGTTCTTGTCGGCGTGGTCTGTGGGGGAGCCGCTCTCCACCAAACACCTCACCACAGGTAGATGTCCTTTCAGACAGGCCCAGCTCAGCGCCGTCAGACCCTCCTTATCCATCAGAGACAACGAAGCCCCTGGAGACATCGCATCATTAGCCAAAATAAATTAGATAAGAGGGTTGTCAAAAATATCAAAAGTTATCAAGTATTGAGTACTAGACTAAAGTATTAAAACTAAATACTCATTTGAATTACTATCAAAACTAAAAATAATAATGTGGACAACATTTGAAATTTCTTGAATATTGCTCAATACATTTTAGAACTTTTATAAAAGCAGCCCAAAAAAAGGCATAAAAGCATATATTAATAATTTCTGTGGTCTTAAAATTGGTATAAAGTATGGAGTACTTTGTCTAGTATTATAAACAAGTTTAAAATATAGTCTTAAAAAAACGCTATTTGAAATACAGCCTTTACATTATATATTATATACATTATTATATATATATATTTGTGCAAATCCAGCTGAGACAGATGATTTTTATTGCAATACTTTTCCAGACATGCAGAGTTACAGCTCACTCCAGTCTTCTGAAGCTACATTGTGTTAGTTAATCGTGTCAAAAGGCTAATTGATGATCAGAAAATGTTTGTGCAATAACGGATTCATAAAAGTGATACATTTCAATCAATCAATCCAAGTATATTTGTAGAGCGCCTTTCATACACATGGCAACACAAAGCGCATACACAGTCCACATCACAAATCAGGATGGACAATTTCATGGAAAGCTTTCACGATCACTGCATCTGACGTAAAGCAGAGTTCAGTCCAACCGCAGCGTACACAGAGTGCAGAATGTGATGTTATTTTTATCTCGTTTCACCTTGTGCTAATAGAAATTCCACAGTGCCTAGATGTCCCTCTGAGGCGGCCATCATTAGCGGAGTCCGGCCCTGTTTATCCGCCTGGTTCACATCCGCTCCGTGCGTCAGTAACAAGTCCACGATCTAGCACACAAACATTTGACAGCAATTACAGAAATTAAATCTACATTTTAGAGGCGCGACCCTGTTCCGCCATGGCCTCATTATGGGCATCTGAAAAGTAAATACTGTACAGTGAAATAAAAAGATGGCTTCAAAACATTTCCATAATCCCCTTTTTAATGTCAAATCTACAGTAACTAAAAATAACCAACTGATTAAAAAGTCTTTCATTTGACTTACAATATGAAACTGATACATGAATGTAAAGTGAGATAAACCAAGCCTTTATTGGTTATAATTGTCATAATGTTGGCCAACAGCTTGAAAAACTCAACCAAAAATGTGATAGTTTAAAAGTCTGATCTTCTTCCCTCTCCTTTTCAAGCTGACTTTTAGTTGATAAAAAAAACATACTGTATATGTATCGTCTTGATTTTTGTTTTGTTTTTTTCCATTTCTGTTGTTTTGTTGTTGTCTGCCATGGTTCGAAATAAAGTATTCATTCATTCATAATTTGAGAATGGGCTGTAAGCATAACTATCAAAAGTTTCAACAAAATAGGCTTGGCACATAAGATATTGTATTCAATTTCAGTAATAATAATAATATATACATACATACATACATACACACACACGCATACATATGTAAGCAAACACAAGAATACACGTACACAAAGTTATAGTAGATAATAATATAGAATGCACAATTCATCAATGCGAACAGATGGACAGGACCTCAAAAACAAACGAAAGTGAATAAAGAAACTGTTTTTTAACACAAAGCGAGTAAACTCAAATGTCCTCTGACCTGCCAGTGTCCCTGCCGCACTGCACTGAACAGGGGGACGATGCCTCTTCTATTGGGTTGAGCCACAGCTGCTCCCTGCTCCAATAAAAGTCTGCAAACATCCAGCTTCCCTCGGCCAGACGCTGCTGTGAGAGCTGGAGGCGCACAGGAAACAAAAAAGCACAAGTTATATAACGTAGGACACAAATTGCGTCCACAAACAAGAGATGTGGTTGCCAGTACCGCGCTAATGGCATTCTCAATTATACCACATTGTACAACGTTTTTTTAAGCTGGAAAACATGCCTTTATTTTTCACAATGAGTGGAAAAATAACTGTTTGAACATGAATCAGAATACATGCTGGCTTCGTCTGATTAGAAAACATGCTGCATACTGAGCTCCGTGAGTCACTATTTGATGCTTTGGGCTGATAGGCGTCAAAGAGTGACAGGTTGAGATGGAGTGGTCCTCTCTTTTTCACTTTTGCCTGAAAAAAACGGATCTAAAGATGTGACAGAGGCCAAAGACACATGCATGAGATAGAAAATAGAGAGATACACTGCAAAAAGTGATGAAAAAGAAGTAAAAAAATGCACAAATTTGGCAACAAGCCTCTTAACTTGAGCACATTTTGAGTGCCAACAAGATTTGCCAATGGGACAAAGCAAAATGGTCTTGCTTTAAAAATATACAAGAAATATTAAGATAAGATAAAAACCAAAATAAGATAAAACCACTATATTCAAGCAATTATAACCTCATATTTTATCATTTTTTGCAGTGTAGGTACCCCAGCTCCTTGCTCAGTCATAATAGAGATTCAGTATCAGTTGAGTAATTAAACCATTAATATGTTTCGCAGGATCTGAACACCAAGTCCCGTAAGAATGCCGGCACATTCTGATGACTCATTGTAATGAAACAGACTTTGATATGTCAGGTCTGTTCTTACAAATGTAAAATCTTCTCCCAGTGGGTACTGCAGTGTAATGTATTTCACTTGACCTCTTTAGTAATACTAGGGCCTTAAATCACCTCCTGAACTACTCTCCTTCAAAACAGTAAGCTGCAGATGACTGAGCATAAGTGCCTTCTTTCATTCACAATGAGATGTGGGAATACAGCAGCAAAGAGGTGCCGTAGATTTCAAAGCAGCTTCTACAGGGGCTGTATGTATGCTGAAAATCACCGGGATATTGTTCAAATATGGATGGTACTTATTAGATTACATATTAGGATTATTTTTATTTTTTGAAGGTACGTTTTGTTCTTTGGGTGTATTCTTAAGTAACTGCTCACACCGTGACCCAGAAGAAAGCAAACCCATTTTCAAAGAATATCAAACATGAGAATGCTTTCTGGTATACCGTAAATGTGAAACTGGGACATTTTCATATTTTAACCCCCTCAAAACTAACTGTAACTGAAACAAAAACAAAAACATTCGATCCTTGGGGTCTAAAATATTATTATTGTAGGAGCACACCGGACTCCACCCAGTGAGTTCCTGCTTTCGTTGGAATGAAAACCTGCAGCCAAACCGACCCTTCCTGGAGTCAGTTAAAAAGATGAGTGCTGCAGTGGGTCAGTTTGTGGTCAGGTACCCTTCAAGAACAGCAGGGAAAAAATATAAGTAACACAGCAATGTTTTGAATTATATGTCCATGAAATGCCTCCAAATTCATTTTGTTCAAACCGACTCTAGATGGCATCATTACATTGAAAAGAAATACCTCGAGAGATACTGTACATGGAAAAACCAACAATGGATACAAACACGTAGTCAAAACTCGACACAAAAACATGATTCTCCTTCAGAAAACGCAGTCACTTCAAAGCGTCCTGGAGCACAGAGTCACAAACCCCCCCTCCTTCTGTCTCTAATGACAACAACACTGTCAACATCAGCATCTGACGCAGCAGAGGCCCCGCACTGCAGCTCCCGTCAGTCTGAATGCATTGTGTGAATTTCAGTAATAATAAGCCTGCGTTAGTATTTGTCCGTGTTTCTGTGAGTCTAACATCCAGAACTAGAACTGGAATAGACCAGGAGAGAAAAGCAAACTTGCCTAAGGTTCGGGATTTGCAGAAATACTAAGGGTATACATTTTGACTTTGATTCCTGATCCTGCATCTTGTTGAGTCAATAAAACCTTGACTTTATTCAATATTTAGCTAAAAGGCAAAGAGCCACAGTGTAATGGTATGTTGAAAGTCTTGCATAAATCCAACCAACACTGCAGGCGGAACATGTGAAAAGAATGTGAAATTTCTCTTTGAACCATGGAATGAACTTGAGAATGTACAACGGTATTTTATGGAGTTTCCAGTTTGATACTTTTGTAATTTGTAATGGGATTGCCTTTAGGATTTCAGACAACTTATAATGAAACGAGTTTCGTTTTGACAATAAACAATGTTTTGTTTGTATTTTAAATAGATAAACTGACATTTTAGTGCCATATGAACCAACTCTGAGGAGCACAGAGTCAGGACTAAACATGGAACAGTCTTTCTGAAAATGTGAGACAGGCTCCTACTCTGACAATGTTCTAATCCAGGATAAAAACAGTTGCTTTTAGCTGAGTGTACAACTGAAGGATTTTATTTTCACTCATTCTCTGGGATTATTCATAATTTTGATGTTTCTTAACTTGCTTCCTTGTGCGTATGAACAATGCCGTACAAATAAACTTGCCATGCCTTACCTTAAATGACTACTACAATTTTGTATTTATTTACTAATGATTATGTGTGCTGCTGGCATGTCTGCACCTTGCCCATTGACTACAGTTGAAAATGACACGTGACACTTGGGTAGGAGAATAATATTTGTCAAAAGTTCATTTATATCGGTAATTTAACTTGTGTGATGCAGACTTCTTACATGCAAAGTGACATATACCAAGCCTTTGATTGTTATTCTGATTATTCTAATTTTATTTGGGGTTTTTTACAAGCTGTGAGATAATTATCAACCTTATTACAACTAATGTTATGTCTCATTTTGCATGTCAGTCATGTCTGTCATATATTAGTATCACAAAAGTTGGAAAACTGACTTTTGAAAAAGATTCTAATTTTCCAAAGTTTCACCTGTACAGCACTTTTACAGAGATGTACCTAAACATGTCAACATCATCCCTGTTTAAATAAATAGACACTTTGTTTATGGCTGGTTTAAGTGGAAGCATCAAACCTTGCGCATTTCTTAGAAGGACATGAAACAAGACTCAGCATCAAAAGCATCTCGAGGCAAAAGGGTTTCCACGGCGATACGTACCAGATGCATGCATTCCAAGTGGTCGCTCTCTTCATTGTTTAAAAGGTTTATTGAGCCCAGAGCTTTAGACAAATCCTCACCTGTCTCTCCCCACAGCGTGTCGAAGTTATTGATCTGTGCGCGCTCCACCTCCTCCTCGTCTTTCTCGGGCAGGTCCAGTAGATACGACACGATCTGAGGCAAAATGAAACACTTGTATTCACTCTTTACCTGGATGTGAAAACTCAAATAATGAATGGAACATGTTGAAAAACTACAGTCAAATAGTTACTGCATGTTGCAAACATAGACTGTATAAATTAACGGACGTAGTCACGCCTATTTAACCGTTCCAACTAATGGGCCAAAAACTGGGCTTTCTTGGAGTGATTCAAAATGGCCGCAGGGGCTGGAAAATGTGAAAAAAACGCATCTGCGCATGCATCAGCCGGCACGAGCCCCATTCATTTAAACGAGTTACTTCAAAAATTCACAGCAAGTAAACTAGAGTGGTCCAAAAAAATTCACTCCCCTCAGCATTGACACAAATGTGAAACGGAGCTTTGGGCCAAGAGCCGCCTTTTGGACCATCCTGTAAAGACGTTTTTGAGAGGTCAGATAATGCTATATGTTAGCATTGGCTAATTCTTATTCCGGGTCCACCCCCATCGGCCCGGGGTGGTATTGCAAGTATGTGAGCGCACGTCATTTTGGCCACTTTTAAGCCGGGACCCGCCCCCACTGAATTGCAAAATGAATCCATAGATCTTGTTAAACCTAAGTTGTCAATAAAGCAGTGATTGTACCAATCTTTATGGCTGTTAGATGCTAAATTATAGGATTGAGTTGTTTTGGCTACCAGTATGATCACTGGTAGCCACACCCCACAGGCTTTCATGCGTCCATATAAAAATACAAGTTCATCATTTCAAAGCTGTCGTCAAGTGTATTGGTCAATTATAATTGTGCTTTCTGTACGTCTTGATGCATTTTGAGATCGTGTTTCTCACTGTTTCTTGTGTGTTTAGTAAATATGGACTAAAATTTGCACGTTTCTCTGCATTCGCATGTTGGAGGAGGTCTGTTCCAATTCAACTCTTGAAACCCAATCAAGCTCAGATTCGCTGCTTAGAAATGTCTATTGTTTAAAATGAAATAAGTGTGTTTTTTACCATAAAAATTTATTCGAGGGGCTTTAAAACAAAATATTCTTTCTTCAAGTAAAACTTGGGAAATTAGAATATTGTTCAAGAGTTCATATTTGCTAAAATATGAGACTCAATACAGATAAAGTGAGACATATCAAGCCTTTATTTGGAATATTGTACATAATTGGGTCAGAGATTGTAAAAAATCAAAACAAAACATGTCAGAAAATTTGAATATTTTGACAATGTAAGCCGGAATCAACAACATTATAACAGACAAAAGCTGTGGGCATAGGCCACTTTGCATGTAATAATTTCATATCATAAATTGGTTTCACACTTTGGGTTTAATTATAAAAGTACATTTTGAACTTTTGAACGGTATTCTAATTTCCCAGAGTTTCACCTGTCCACAAAATGATTTTCTCCAGGGCTGTACCTCTGTGTATCCCATACTGGCTGCAGCAATCAGGGCCTGCTGGACTGCGTGGCTCTTGGTGAAGCTGTTCTGTGGTGGGGGTGATTGGGGCGACTGCTGCTGCTGCTGGGACCCCATGCTCCAGTCGCTCTGAATCAGGTACTTGACCACCTCCATGTGTCCTCTCAGCGCCGCGTGGACCAAAGCACACTGGCCGTTCCTGTCCAAGTGGTCCACCTGCTCAACACAAGTAGACGCCATAGTCACGATTCAGGGGTTGTTCTTGAACCAACTCGTCATCCACTCTCCAAACTTTTACATCAACATGATTCATAATTAGTGTTGCCATGGTCCTTATAGTTCAAAACACTCTTTTAAAAGTACCATGTTGTGAATGAATCAGACCACCACATTATGTCTTCATCTCATCTCAACATGAGACGCTTTGGGCTGAGAGCTTATTGGCTGAGTGAGGGTGGTCCTCTTTTTTTTTGTTTTTCTGCCTAAAAAATATCTACAGATGTGACAGAGGCCAGAAAATACATTCATGTGAAAACTAGTGATAGAACTATACAGTTTTTAGAGAGAGTTAGAATGATTTTAAGATATACATTTCAATTGTTCAATACCTCAGCTTTACGTATTGATTATTGATGTTTGGATCCCACTTGAAAATTAGACGCTGCATCTCAAAGGAATATTTCAGCTATAGTTGTGTTTCTTCTGACAATCCATTCATGTCAGTTCTGGTTAACTGTTTGTATAATCCTGAGACAGACAAAGTATTTGCGATCCACATTCTTTGATCAGAAGATGGATCAAATATGCATATGTGTTGGTCCAACGAGGTTCATTTGCTCTTCTGACAGATTCTTAAAGTTGATTTCTTTAGAAAGACCAGAGTGCTTTTGTTGTAACTGACAGTTTCGACTGCAGCAGAAACTGTCGGGTACAAAAACACACTCTGGTCTTGGACAAAGATAAACTTGTAGTGTCTGTTATGTTGATTTATGTGAAAGTGTGAAGTGGAGAATCTAAATAAATGATCTAATCTAATCTCAAAATATAGTAAGCCTAAATGCTTTGGTAACTAAATAACAATTAGAAGACATATAGATCATTTGAATTTGGCAGAAGCAAAACATCTTTTTCGGTGCATTGCTTTTACTGTTGTCTAAGATGGAAGAAAAAAAAATCTAAGTTATAGGCTGCACCATTAACTTTTGCAGACAAATGTATCTGATATTACTATTTAACAGCCATCTTTGATTTGTCAGCGACGATCAAATCTCTTGTATTTATACTTATTATAACAACAAAGTCTGGAAAAAGAGATATTCAGATTATCCCTTGGTCTTACCTTTGCTCTCTTGCGGCACAGGGCGGTGACTATGGCCATGTGTCCTCCGGCTGCAGCGTAGCTCAGAGGCGTCAGTCCGCTCTCAGACGGCACGTCCACCGAGGCTCCGAACTCCAGCAGCAGACTGACCATCTCCATGTATCCCAGGTGAGCGTGCACGCACAGCACCGGAGCATTGTTCAGCACTTCTGTCCGGTAGTTTACATTCCCACCGCCCAACATCAGCAACCGACTGACCTGGACCCAGTCAAGATGAAAGAGAGGCAACGATTCAGAAGATTCAATGGTTTTCTGTTGTTTTAACCTTTCATTTATGCTATATCAGTGATTCCCAACCTTTTTGAGACGTGGAACTAGAGCTCAAAACTTATACAAACATAAAAACTCTGCAGCCTTTATAAGCACTGAAAGCCATTCTCATCAAAGTTTATTACATTCATTTCAAACAAGCACAAAAAAGTCTTTGTAAGCTTCTCAATTTTCTTGTCGCTTTGTTTTGACCAAATATGTCAACAGCTCAAGGTTGAAACACTGTGCTATAGAATGATATATGTGTTATATCTGTGGATCCCTATTCTATATTTGGACATTAAAACATGCATGTATCTAAACAACTTCATTAAACAACTTGGGATATTTGGAGGTTATTGTAACAAATGTTGTGAACAAAGCAGACCACATACATACTGTAATTTTACATTATCGATATAATTAGAACACATCTTATGTTTTGCAAGCATGTGAGGCAGATCCCCCTGAGAGCTGATTGGCTGACTGAGGGCGTAGATCAGGGTGACTGATCTAAAGGTGTGACAGAGGCCAACCAATACCTGCATGTGAAAACTAACAAGGAATACATGAGGGATTTTCATAAAAAATGCCAGCTTTTTATAAAAACTATATTTAGATGCTATAAAACCGACCAGGCAAATTAATTTGTCTCTACAGGCAATTAATTTCTTTAGAAGTCACACTGTTTTTAATTGGAACTTCAAATTTAGGCTGCATGACACATTTATCATGCAATATTGTGTGTTTTTTCAAGCCTAAAACCTAGAGATCGACATAACCTTGATATCGGCACGGATACATATAGCTACATATATCAGCACTGCTATAAGCCAATATCAATATCTGATGATTTTTAGATGTCATGAGTCAAGTCATACAGTGGACCCATTATGGTTAAATATAGAAATAATTCATGAAGGAGTTTGAATTATTCAACAGAACACCAATGTTTTAACTTTTACTGCAAAATAATATCGGCTCTGCATATCGGTTATCAGCCTCCTTGACTCTCGCCGTCGTCCAAAAAACCTGTCGGCCAATCTCACAGACTTATAGCCCAGGATTTAAAAAAAAACATCCAAAACAACACCACCAGAAGAGTTTACTTGTCGATGCACATGAAAAGAAGCAAGAGCGAGAAGGAGCAAAAACTTCTTACATGAGCACTTCCCTATTGTCGATCTCTACAGAAAAGCACAGCAGTACAAACCCGAAAGACTCCTCAGCTGTGGTTGCCTGGTTACCTTGATGTTGGGAGTGTAGAGGTTCCGCAGTGAAGACAGAGCGGCTGAGAGTCCTTCTGTGCTGTACGACACCCACAGCCCCTGCAGGATGGACGAGGAGACCCCAACTTTCTTGCTCAGACCCTTGAACACACAGGTAAATATTCATTACTTTTGTAGCAGAGGTTTTGAAGTGCAGAACCGCAAAGGGGCTTAAAATAACTTTTGGAATATTTATGATGCAAGTTCTCGTCTTTCATACTTGTGAAATGTGATTCTACAGTGAGACGAGCAGAATTCAAGCACACTTTCAGCAATTCGTATCTACTGAGTGCCTTTAAGACCAAACTATGAGTTGATTTTTTGATAAAAGAAACGGATTGGCTTTGTCTTGTTGGCCAAAACACATTATTTGTATTGCCGTCTTTATTTAAAAATACAAATTCCTCATCTCAATACACTCAACAATTTCTATTGTTGAAAAATGTGAAATATTTTCTTAGATAGAAATTGTTTTGAGGAACATAGATACAGTGCCTTGCGAAAGTATTCGGCCCCCTTGAACCTTTCAACATTTCGCCACATTTCAGGCTTCAAACATAAAGATATAACATTTTAATTTTTTGTCATGAATCAACAACAAGTGGGACACAATCGTGAAGTGGAACGAAATTTATTGGATAATTTAAACTTAAAAAAAAAATAAAAAACTGAAAAGTGGGGCGTGCAATATTATTCGGCCCCTTTACTTTCAGTGCAGCAAACTCACTCCAGAAGTTCAGTGAGGATCTTTGAATGATCCAATGTTGTCCTAAATGACTGATGATGATAAATAGAATGGACCCGTGTGTGATCAAGTCTCCGTATAAATGCACCTGCTCTTTGATAGTCTCAGGGTTCTGTTTAAAGCGCAGAGAGAACCATGAAGACAAAGGAACACACCAGGCAGGTCCGAGATACTGTTGTGGAGAAGTTTAAAGCCGGATTTGGATACAAAAAGATTTCCCAAGCTTTAAACATCTCAAGGAGCACTGTGCAAGCAATTATATTGAAATGGAAGGAGTATCAGACCACTGCAAATCTACCAAGACCCGGCCGTCCTTCCAAACTTTCATCCCAAACAAGGAGAAGACTGATCAGAGATGCAGCCAAGAGGCCCATGATCACTCTGGATGAACTGCAGATAACTACAGCTGATCCAACAAATTTCATTCCACTTCACGATTGTGTCCCACTTGTTGTTGATTCATGACAAAAAATTAAAATTTTATATCTTTATGTTTGAAGCCTGAAATGTGGCGAAATGTTGAAAGGTTCACTGTAGATTTTAAACTCTAACATGGAACGGTTTTATTGAAAGAACACAATTTAACTGAAGGTGCACACTGGGGAAGTTTCCAAATGTATTCCAATGTGGTTTTACTTCAAATGGAAAATAAAATAAATCTGATCTGAAATCGTATCGTTTTTTTCAAAGCAGAAAACAGCTCTGTCCATCAGGCCAGAGTCAAGGATCCACCAAAGTGTTTGAAAACAGGGAATTTGTTGTTTTCTTGACAAAAAATTAAAATTTTATATCTTTTTGTACCAGAAGTTCCTGTTATTAGCATGTATTGAGCTAAAAACGACTTCATGCTTAAATATGATGCGTCCTTTAAAGGTGATGTCAGCAACTTTAATTGTATTTCATTGAGCATACATATTTTTGACAAATATTTTTAAAACAGTCCCATCCCGTTGGAATAGGCATCACCAGTAAGATTCGCTGGAGGAGAATAGTTCGACCAATGGTGAGGGGTCTCTGCTGTCTATAAACAATCTGAATTAATTGCGTCCAATCAGGAGCCCGTGGGGGCGGGTCTAACTGGCAATAGTATTGGCCAAACATTTCTCAGTCTTCACAAATAATTGACCTTCACTTTAAAACCATTAAAACTCTCATCTTTTAAGATCAATGTGAGAAAACCTAACAACAACACATATTGTAGCTGGAACTGTTGTACAAAACGACGAATACCTTGAAGATATGTGCTTTGAGGATGTGATGGCCCAGCTCAATGGTCTGCTGGCGGTTGAGTTTGGTCTCCAGTCGTGAGAACCAGAAAGCCAGGAGGGTGTGTCCGCTCCTGCAGAGGAAAGAGTCAGAGCCTGAGTCACCAACTTGGGCTGTGTGCAAGAGCCAGAGCTGCTGCAGAGGTGTTCAATAGATTAAATGAAAGAGCAGCGCCGCGGCCACTTTCCCTGCTTAACAAAACAGAGCAGAGGTTCTTCCACACACTCCAAACACACGTTCAAAAACAGACTGACGGGCCGACTCATTCTTTAGTTTGTGAACGTAGAGATGCATTTTACATTGTCATTGGAGATCTCACAATAATCGGAAGCATCAAATTATGACATTTACATACAATATAGTGGCATGAGGTCATTTTTCCCAATTTCCCAAAAGTTTTCATAAGGACAGTGGTGATGACACTCGACATTCAGCAACATTTATCAACATTTATGGACATTGGTAGCCTGCCCTTTTATGGAAAAATGGCTCTATGTGTTTTTAACCATTGCATTTCTTTTGATTCTCTGATCTGTGTTGGCGAATTCAACGGTTCCGAGATAACTACTGTTGTGATTTAGGGTGATACAAGAATACATTGATCTGAATAGAACCAATGTATTAGCATTTATTTTGAGATTTGCAGTGATCCTTGTAACCTTAAGATTGCTGTAGTGCTCCAGGAATAATGTAATCTAAAGAAAATTATGCCATCTAAATAATTGCAGTCTTTGATTCTATTGTGATTAACCGTGCAGCCCCAGTTCTCCCATTGACCCTCCTTCTCCTCCTCCTCCTCCTCCTCCTCTTCCTCACCACCACAGCCCTCACCTGGGGTCGCAGAGGAACTTGGTCTTCTCGCCCTCCTCCCTCCAGATCAGCCACTCCCTGAAGGAGGGGTGCACAAACATCCTGGTGCCGTCTCTCCTCTTCACCAGGAACACAGAGAGATTATCCACGCGCTGCTGGAAGTCCTCCCAGTCCAGAGTGCCCTGCGGACACACGCATGAGTCATCGACAAAGTAATAAACGAATTCACTTTTCATTCAAATGGGTCGTATGCAATATTAGAATTTTGAATTACATCGACATCTTTTATACAGTTAGGTGTCCCCAGATAATAGATCAACATGTACAAATCATGTTTAGTCTTTTATCAACAAAAGTTTAAAGTGCTTAGAAAATAATCACTGCATATATTTTAAAACACTGCAGCTTGACCCCAACCCTGACTAGAACATTAGTCCAGATCTCAGGTCTCTGCTCTGGCTTCCTGTGGCTCAGAGAATAGACTTTAAAAGCATTATGTTTATGCACAAGTCTCTCCATGGCTTCACACCAAAGTACAACTGTGACATGTTGGTGTCATATGAACCAACTCCGACTCTGAGGAGCACAGGGACTGGCCTCCTGCTGGTGCTCAGAGTCAGGACTAAACATAGGGAGGCAGCATTTCAGATTTATGCGGCTAAAATCTGAAACAATCTTTATTAAAATGTGAGACAGGCTTCTACTCTGGCAATGTTCAAATCCAATTCTGTTCAGCTGTGGATACAACTGAAGGATTGTATCTTCACTCTTTGATGACTCATGTACTGTGATTATTTATGATTTCATGCCTTGTGTTTTGTTGTTTGAGTTGCCCTGTATATGATCTGTGCAATACTTTCCTTCCCTATTGAGAAAAAGTTGCTAATGTTGTATCTATGATAGCAAATGTATCACTGTCCCAAAGTTTTTGTGCAAAGGTAAAGCTACGAGAGGCCTTTAAAAGAGGCAGACGAGGTACCATCCTCTCAGGGGGATGAGATAGACGGGACCTAAAAGTGGTCAGACCAGTTATGCATACTGATCCCTGGTTACCTCGAGCTGCCCGGCGTTGATGGCCTGGTAGATCTGCTCGTCGGTCAGAGGGTGAAGCGAGGCCACAGCCACGTTGAGCAAAGGCAGCGCGCGCTCAAACGAGGACTGTGTGGGGAAGCGCATGTTACACTGGAGCAGGTACACCTCCGCCAGATTCACCGGGACCACCTGCAGACAGCAACACACCCAGAATAGTAAAACAGGTTTAGGCTGGCACCAAACCTCCAAGAATGAATTATGCATCTTGTTTGCACAGCATCTGCTTTTCCGCCTGGTTATACTCAGAATGGAAAATTTATCAATTGTCGTTTTTTTATTCGCTCTCTGGAAGCACTCCTGAATACATGAAATTATATGAACCTGCATGGAGAAGCAAGATAAAATATGCCATTGTAAAATCCGAGCTCAGCCGGTCAATTGAATTATTTATCATAAAATGTGTGGAGTCCCAAGTGCGGTAAAGAAAACATTGTGTGAAGAATTATAATGTACAGTAAGTGCTTGTTGAAATGGCCACATATCATTGTGTATTGCAAAGGACTATGGGGGACATTTATGCCGTTATATTTACAAGAAGGATTGGAATACATTGTGAGCTAAACATATATACTGAACTTCTAATAACTACAATATAGTGAAATAATAACTCTTTTCACTTCTCTATGTTTGCCATGGAGGGCTTTGTTTATGTTTAAATCTGAGGTAGCTAGCATTATATTATATGACATATTACATTTTGTTTGTCTCAACATAACAAGGTTTTTATCTTTTGCATACTTGCAGAACTAGAGTCACTATTTGACCCTGTGAGCTGAGAGCTGAAGGCTCTAGAGGTAGAACCAAACTGTTTTGTTTGGATATTGATCGGATTCGGAGCTGGTTTAGTCAATCAAAATGTTAACTACTGAATAAAAATGATTGATTCTAAACCTGGGAGTAAAATTAGGGATCAAGCTTACTTGATTTATCTTGTTTTTTGATCTCTAGCAATTTTACAGAAAAATACAACTTAATCGCACTTTATCTGCTATTTATTCTAGTCATCGTCATTAATGTAAATATGCCTGCTAACAACTATTGCTTGTCTTGCATAGTGTACATTTTTATACTACATTTTCCTATTATTGTGCTGTGCATCACAACACTCTTGTCTAACCTTTAACTCTATTATACAACTCTATAAAGCTTCTAAGGATAAGACAGTAATCATCGAGGCCTTCTTGTGGCCCCACCTTGTAGCTGGAGCTCTTGAGGACGAGGTAGCCCTTCTCGATAAGGTCGAAGGTCAGCTTGAGGTACAGGTAGGAGCCCTGGCTCAGAGCCTTGAGGTGCGTGCTGAGTTTTCCAAACGTTGTGTTGTCCATTTTTCCGTTGAGAGAGATGTTGTTCTGGATTTCAGGGCTGCTGTGGATCCGGTGCAGGATGTAGCCCTGGAGGTCCTGGTCTATGGCGTCGTTCTCCTCAAAACTGTCTAGGGAGATCCGGTGGAACGGCAGTGGGTTCGTAATCTCCTTAAATCACAAGGAAAGATGTGTGATTACATGTTACACGGCTTATACTGAATATACTGTATATACTGGAGACTCAAATCATCATCTATTCAAGATCTTATTACTCTGTTGGTAAGACGTGCAATTCATCATTTGTTTGATGTGATTTGTTTCCTTTATTTCAAATTTCACACTTTTGTAGATTAAAAAAAGTGACAATTATCAATATTCTGTAATAATTATGACTTTAGACCAGGGGTAATCAGATGTGTTTGTTTGTTTGTTGGTTAGTTAGCAAGAAGTTAAGGGCTGATTTTTACTGGATTTTTTTTACTGTAAATGTTCAGCAAAGTGATCAAGATGTTGTGTTACATATGTACAGATATTCAATTGTTTTATTGTTGTGGGCAAGTCAATTCATACATAGGCCATAATTTTACCAGTTGTAGTCGTTGCTGTAGCAGGACTTTTAAGAATGTAGCAGTTAAGTTACAAGTAGTAGCAGAAGCAGAGAACTATAGAAATGTTGTGGAAAGAGGACTTTACCTGTAACGTGGTTCTGACAGAAACCACCAGTTTGAGCCAGTGTGGAAACTTGTTGATAGTTTTGGTGAGAAAAGCCACAATGGTATCTCCATAGTCCGGCTTGTGAAACTCTGCTTCGTTTAACCCATCTATTAGAATAATGAGGTCTTCGTCTGTGCTGATCTTTCTCTCTGAAACACAAAATATCCAAATGAGAAATGCTTTTCAGTCAACAACCATTACCCATGATGTGAATTTCCTCCCAAAACAGTTTGCTAAAACCAATGATTCTAATTACAGTACTTTGGGGCTGCTAAAATCACACAAAACAAATTATATTGAATATCTTTAATTAGCAATTAGCATCTTTTACAAAGAAATCCAATAATATATGGTTGACTGCTTTTTTATTTATTTGTTATAAAAATAACTAGTGTGGGTGTAATAAAAAAGAGAACCACGTTCACTCAGCCAAAGCATCAAATAGTGACTTACAGATAAAAACATTCTTTTAAGTTGAGGCTTTTACAAAAATTGCCTGGCTTTAATATTAAAAATCTAACACCACAGCTTAATCACCAATAGCTGATCCCACTTTCTTATTTAAATTCATTCAACTGTTTATTGTCCTGTTTATTTAAGTGTATCCCAAATTCCTAACAACATCTCAAACCATTCCCCCAGCCATCACAGAATGCCATCCCCTTGTGATCCTTTCTACCACTCAACATAGATGTAGGCCTTGCCCACAGTGGCATGATCCAGAAAAAAAACATCAACAATTCATTTCATTTATATTGTAATCCTGTACGATTGTGTTTGTGTGTTTTTTATGAATTCCCTTCTAGCACTATGTCTGCAAATTCACTCACGGATGAATAAAGTAATGTGAATTAGAATTGACAATTTAAGGATAGATTTTCTCACACATAGTTTTACACATCTCTTCTGAAAGTGTATGTGGTGTATAGTGGCCTGTCACCTTTATAAAGTGCATCCAGGGGCTCGAGAATGCCCCTCCTGAACGAGGACAGGGGGTCTTGCACGCAGGACCTCAGGCTCAGGACGCTCTGTAGATGCGGCTCCCTCAGCAGCTGCTCTCTGTAGGCCACCAGGTGCGGAGAGCGACAGAGCAGCGCCGCGATGTTGTGGACGAACTCCGGCACCAGACACGTGTACGCGTTATCCGCCTGGCAGTAATGGTACGCCACCACCTGGGGGAGACAGAGAGCGCGACGGGAAATATGAGATGTGAGTAGTGGAAACAGGCTGAAGAAGGTAAGGTATACATTATTACCCAAGGAAAATGGAAATCGTCGTGGCTATGTTGTGCATTGATTCAAAGAAAGACAGTTCTGGGAGTTTCAGAAAGAAGTGGTTCATAAAATGCAAGGTTTTTCTGTTTATTTTGGTTTTAGTCTGGCTCCTTTTTGTCTGTTTGACGTAAAATAGTCCAGGGTGAATGAGTGTGGTATTAAGTGTGTGCGACTAGGGGACAATGGAGGAAAATGAAACCATGGCGACAATCTGGTGTATTTATAGCAACTGCTGTTCACCACCCTGTCCTAACCATATAAACAAATACAATACTATATCTGGGGTGTGTAAGGGGTTAATGAGCATCAGTTTGTTACCAGCTCAGAATACAGAAAATGGTTTTGTCAAGATTTTGTTTCTATATTTTTCACTAATCACAATTCCTCAATCTTGTCATAAACAGAAAAAGTACATTAAAGTTACATTGAAGAGTATGTTTTAATAACTGAAACATTAACATGCTTAAAATAGTGTAATACTTGTGTTTACTACTAGCATTCTGAAACCCCAGGAAGACTAGCAACCACTTGTGGAAATATAAAGTTTTTCTATAAATATGAAGTTTTTTGCTCTGCATCTGGTCCAATCTAAAATAAATGACTTTTTCCAACAGAAGTGATGAAATTAGTTATCAGTGCTAGTATTGGTATAGCGCTAGAATTTTAAAAAACCCAATCTTTGCCTTTATCCAGTTTAATCTGATTGGACAAGTTTTACATTAGCAGGTATAATTCATAATAGCCTAAAGTGAGTGATGACAAAAAGCTATTTTCAGTCAGTAAATTAACTCCCAAAGCCTTTTCCTTGTTCTTACCGCAAAAAAATCACTCCGACACAGACTTTCCACTGTGTCGAGTCCTGGAACAAATCACCAGGGATCTCCAGTCGTCTTCATGGTGTATGATTACAATATAATCGCAGATAATACTGTACGGTTTTCTCCATTAATAATTCATTGCTTCCGGCAGCCGCGAGTTGGAGTTTGCTCATGCATGTGCGAGATGACTGTGACACGAAGGAGTCAAGTGTTAAGCTGTTAGATTTCACACCCATGTACTTGAAACAGCAAAATGAATGTCTCAAAGAATCAGATGGATTACCGAGTTAAAGTAAAACAAACATAACACTGCAGGAATTGTATGTTAAGAGGACATACATAAAGAGACATTGGTGAAAAGTTGTTAAGTTTATTTAAAAGACTAGTCTATGTACAGAACTGTGTATATTTATCCAGCTGGTAACCCTCCTTTTTATGATGAAAACAGATTTCTACTATTCACATACAATGTTTTTGCCTGATCTTAAGATCCGCTTTTTTCAGACAGGAAAGTGAAAAGGAAACAACCACCCTCACTCAGCCAATCAGCTCTCAGCACAGAGAATTGGATGATTTGGGTTGAGAGCTGATGGGGAAAAAGTTAGGAACCCCAGCTTTAATATTGACCATTATTGATGGGCCATTAATGCATCGGTTTTATATAGCGTTTTTTTGGACACTCAAAGACCCCTCACACACTACTACTGTCGCCACAGCTGCCATGGGGCACACTGACAGAAGCGAGGCAACCAGTATATACCACCCGCCCCTCCAACACACCAGACTCTTTCTAGGCAATGTGGGTGAAGTGTCTTGGCTAAGGACACAACGACTTTTTGGCGCTTTACAACCGCAGCCACTCCACTGAGGCACCTGGTGTTCCCAGAGGTCACCCATCACAGTACTAACCAGGTCCTGCCCTACTTAGCTTCAGGGATCTGGCTTTCACCTGCAGGTATGGCCACATTACAGGTATAATTGACCAATCTCTGTAACAGTCCGTATAGTGAGATTGCTTTGCTTTATTTCATTGATTCTCCTTTAAAAACACGCCGTTTCCAGCCGTCTCCTCGTCTGTTGAATGAATACATCGCTAGAAAAATTATGGTATGAGTGCATTCTGCCATAGATAATCTAATCCCCATTACAAAGTATTTTCCACAGGTGAGATCAATTGTCCCTGGATAGATTTTTCAGAGGAAATCGCAGAGGCCGGGGGCAGTCACAAAGGCTGCATGAAACAAAAGTCTGATCACAGTGAAATGGTAATTTTTCGGTCACACATGAACAATGCAGGTTTCAGACAAAGGAGTGAAAAACGTAAGCAGACCTCAATTATTAATGCACAAGTTAATACAATCTAATAGTCTGGCTGGGGAACGGCTTTCTGCAAGTTTAAATATTTCATAAGGCTCGCTGGCAAAGTTGTTTTTTCTTTTTTAAACACATCTGCATAATGCATCAGGCCAGGGCTTGTGATGCAGATGGTTGAGCGGCAGGGGAGGAGCCTCAAGGTGTGCGGAAAATAAGCAGATTTTTGTTGTTGTAAAGACATCATCAACAATCCAAACGGTTCGACGTTTGACCGAAGCTGTACAAGTTTCAAAGTGAAAGTGAATGTCAGTTACTTTGCAAATTGTGAAGAGAGAGCGAACGTTTTTGAAGTTTAGCACTGGTTAGCCCCGCCCACGCAGCCTCCTGATTGGTGGAATCTAGGCCCCTCGTCATTGTTTTTTATTTTTTATTTATAAGTTTTCATAGTTTTTATACAGAAGAAAATACAGAACATTTAGAGGTAAGAAAAAAAGGTTAGAAAAAACTGAAATAATTTAAATTTTCGGTATTAAACTTAAGTCGCAAAAAAGTGCTTATAACCCCATTGTGGTGAATAATTAGATTCTTATGAATGTGTGGACAACAGAAAATTAAAAATCAAATTGAGTAAAAACAGGGCCTTCCAGCTGCGTATAATGTATAATGAATCGGCGTCCCTGTTTGGTACCTGAGATGCGATCCTCCTCATGGCCTCCTCCTGACGCCGTCTCATCTCAGGCGTCCCGGGACAGCTGCCTCCTCCCAGGGTGCCGTGTGAGGGCTGAGGCTGGCTGAGCGGAAGGCCCTCTCCATCTGGACACACACAACAACACAACAACAGTGTCCAGGGCGCTGCCAACACGCTTCTTAAGACTCATAGAATCCACAAACTGACAAGAGCATCCTCATTACATCGGTCTGTTAACTGTGATATATAAATAAAACAGTGTACACTATCAGTCACACCAATGCAGATGCTACAGCTGCACAATTTTGACAAAATATCAAAATTGTGATCTTTTTGACCAACATTACGATTGCTTTGGGATATCTTGTATATTTTGTTCAGAGGACAAAAAAGGAGAGATTCCCATCTCAAAATCTGTACTTACTGTATGAAGCAATGAAAAACACATTCTCACACATTTTAGGAAATTTGTTTTTTCTGACAGAATTAGTTTGTGAATCCAAAACATGTTTACTGCTTTGGCTTAGAGATTGTGTAAAATATGATATTATATTAATTTATGAGGTCTTGACTTATTCAATTATGAGGTCTAATTTGGTCTGGTGCACACTTGGGTAGTCTTGCATAGTTTTTCCAATGTGGTTTTACTGCAAATGGCAAATAAATTCTTGTATTTCTTGTATCTTGTATTTGGAATGAGAAAAAAAAAAAAAAATATATATTTGTTTCATTGAGAAATCTAAAATAAATATTTAAAATCAAGAGGCATTTTCTGGAATTCAAGAGATGTTTTGCCTTTTTTTATTCTTTGCTTTATTTGCAAAAAACGAAAAATAACTGCAGTGAATAATTATGAATATAAATTTCAACTTGATGTGATTAATCTTACAGCCCTAGCAAACACTGAGCAACAAAAAAAAAAGTTGAACCAAAACTGCAAAGTGACAGCTCCAACCACCGCCCCCGGGTTATAGTTTCAAATACCTCTAGTTATCGCCCGATTTTTTGTTTTCCTCTTGTGTGTGTCTCGGTGCTTACGTTTGGGCGAGGCCTGGGGGCTGTCTGATGCGATCTGCCTCATGCGCGTCCCGTGGCAGCTCAGAGCCACCAGCCGGGACATGATGGCGGTCTTCCCGAAGCCGATGTTCCCCACGATGATGATGCCGGGGTTGGAACCGCCGTTGGAATGGTTAAGGTAGGCGTCAATCTCCTGGAAGAGCCATTCCCGCCCCGTGAAGACCGAGTCCATGGTGATGCTGGGAACCTCGAACAGCAAAGGCTTTAGGGCGATGTCGTTGGGCCGGTAAGGGGCAAATTGTACTGTAGAGGCAGAAACAGCAAATATAGACTTTTTCCAGGCTTAATTCCAATATTACAGAAGATTTTCTTTTCTAAATTTGATCACCTCAAAGCTGGGGTACCTAACTTAAATGTTTTCAATTCTTTATTTATTTCAAACAAGCACGAGATACACAAACAAATATTCACAGAAGAATTATTCTGTTCATCACTTTGAGTTGCCTTGTGTATGAATTGTCGAGGGGATTGGTCGAAGCAAAAAGCTAAATCTTTTTTAACTATGGAATAAAATCCATCTGACTAGTTCCTCGCTCTTGAAACAGGTTGGTTCAGTTGCTAGTTAGAACCAAGCATGCATGTATTTTTGATCTTTTTTTGTATTTTTGTGAAAGGTTTTTTATCCCTGAAGTTTTATTTATTCACTATATTTTACATAGTCTTTTTGTTGATACTAAATACTATTATTTAAAGAAAAGTTTGCTATCCCAGCTTTATTTAATTTCATATTTTGAAGTTAATATTTTTCCCCAATTTGTAAAATGGAATCATTTATAAACAACAGTTGTAACAAGTAGCAATGAAAATAAAAAGAGTTAAATGACCCGTTAAGAGGCCTGTAAAGCTTGTATGATTTCTAAATTTGTGTCTCGTTTGTTATATTTTTTAAAACATGTAGCATCTCAGATTGTGTTTCTTCTTAAAAGAAAGAACAAAGTCTAACATTAGAGGATGTAGCACTAGAGCTGCGTGTGGAGTCCAACGTGAATGAAACGTGTTTGGAGCAGCAGGGTCTTCTTTTATTGACTGCACCGTGTCGACTTCAGTCACTAGAGGGAGTCATTAATCCTGCTCCTCAGGGTTCGGCATCTTTTCTGCCCACACATATGGACCATTAAAAAATAATGAGGATAAAATGAATCTAAAATTAACTTCTGACGACGTGTGATGAATGATGATTTTTGTCAGCTGCTTTTGTGTGTTGTCTCCCAGTCTGCGTTTTTCAAAATGTGATTCAAAATGTGATTGTAAAGTTATGGTACTGTAAATATGGACACGTTTAAGGCTGCTTGGTGAATGATCTGCTTTTTTCTTTTTTTAATCTAAATGTTGCTCTCTCTGGAAGGTCAACAGTATATTTTCTCTTTATAAGAGTCAATGGAGATAAAAAAGTGACTTCACTAAGGTGCCTTCACACTTCAGTCTGAACACCCTGACCCTAACCCTACTTTGGTTACTTCACACCTTCACAAACGCAGCCTTTTTAACCTAATTGATTCACTTAAAGTCAACTCTTGTTCACTTTGGACTGAAAAGTGAACAAGGCCTAAGTTACACGGAGAGCAGAGCTGATCTAATGCAAGTCTTCATGTTTTCGAGAAGCAAAAACATCTGTAATCAAATATATTTCATACCATACTGAGGCCTAGGGACAGCAGGTGGAAACTAGCTGTATTAGCTAATACGATACATACACATTAACAGAAATGTTGATTAATGTGTACTGTTCCTAATCAAATAAACTATTCAATTAAAAAAATAAAATAAAATAAATTCCAAGCAGGTGGTGGACTAAGAAGATCTGCACATTGCACCTTTAAAACTTTTCTGATGAATTGTTTGCCATCAGCCATCTCCATAGGGTGGGCTATTGTTCCATAGTAAGGCATTAAACTAACTCACTCGAGACGGGTAGAAGGTAAATGATTGTGCAATGATCATTCAAGTTTGAATCTGAATTGGCACATATCGGAGTACATTTATATATTATTATTATTATTATTATTATACTATATTTTTTGCCATACAAAATGATAACATTCTGCACCATACAGAAAGCACTGTACCCACTGCAGCCAAATGCATGTGTAAGAATACTGTCTATACTGTAAAAACATAACCGTGTTTGGCAGAATTTGTAACTCTTTGCACCAGCCAAAAGCAGCAGTTGCCTGGCCTGCCAAACGATATGCTTTTTCAAAGACATATAGTCTGGGAACGAGCTTGATCTCAGCGAATTCCCGGTGGGCGTGGTTGACAGACTGCATCAACCAATTAGATGCACACAGGATATGACGCAGCAACTAGCGGCACCCAAGCCGTTTCAGTAAACACAAAACAAGGGATGGCGGCATGTCAGCTAGTGCAAATGTAAACGACTGCTGTCGATTTTGTAACAAAAACTTAAAGATACGAGGAGTTATTAGCAACTCAAAGGTGAAAGGAAGTCCCGCCTCTCGGTGCGTGATTGGACCGATGTGGGTAAAATCGTGAAATGATAGGCTAGGAAGAGGTGTCCAGACGGTTCTTCTTTTGAACAGAAAGGAGGAGTGTCTGGCAGGCCAGGCAAAAGCAGCAGGGAGCAGCTCAGAGATCTTAGTGAAACAGAAAAATCCAGCGGTAGAACTTACGTGACTGGGACTGCCAGGCGTGGGCGTTATTAGCAGTAGCTGCGACAAAAAGCAAAGCAAAGCAGAGGCCGACAGTGAGAACTTCAATGGAGAAACATAACATCAAAGAGTAATAGCCACAACAAGCAGCATTATTCTAGTAGAAGCAGAGCGCTAATGGTGACTGTACCGTTCCAAACTTCTCTCACAGAAAACTGGCATTAATGGGAATTCGATATTATTAGAAGGCTATGTGTGAGGGTTTGCTTTTCAGTAGTATGCAAATTACCATTATGCAAACACCTGCACAATTATAGCTGAATTAGAATATGGCATTGTAATAGGTTTGCCATTGTTCTGAAAATTATTGAAAAGTACTACTACCAGAAGTTTTATCACGTTTTGGAATCCAAATGAAATTCTCATCACTGATTCAGGGGAAAAACTCATACTGTTATCCAACATTTGACAACCTTTGTCTGTAAATATACAAATATACATACATACAAACAAACAAAACCAATGGATAAAAAAGGCTGTAACTACTGTAATTATCAATCAACACAATTCATGAATCTGTGGTGATGTGAAAAATACTTGGAAAAATTGGATTGAATTGAAGTCTTCCACTGTGTCACTTTTTGCAATGTTTTGTTTAATTCAAAGTGACATACAATCACAACAGCAACAAAAAAACGGCAATACCATACAGTCTGAATGAAACGGATCAGAGAAAAACAAGTCTTATAATATCTGCCCCTTTTGTTACCTCCCACTTTACATGTTATATATAATAAATTAACAATCAGCAGATACTTTTCCCACAGATAATCCGCCGCCTATCACAGATTCAGAAAAATAAAAATAAAATACTTAAAAACAGTGAGGGTGTTGATGTGGCTGTGGTCAGAGGAGCGCGATTGGAGCAACAGCTATAAACATACATACTTGCATCTGTCTAAAAACAGCTTCTCTATGCCACCAACACAATGTGTTGATTACTACAGTAATTAAAATCCTTTGAATTATATTAAGCGCAGACTTTAGGAAGCGCACAAGGCCGAGGAAGAAGGGGGCGGGCTCCAGACTTTAGGCAGAATCTAATTGGACCCATGGCATCACCAAAGATCAATCAACCCAATAAAAGTAATCTAATCTCTCCAATAGTAATTTGGGTTTGGGATGTTGGTCGTCAGATATGGGTTTATTGTTGCCGTTTCTGTTCATTACAGCTCATTTATGATTCATGAGTTTGGATTGCAATAATTCGATAGAGTTTAAGAGTGGATTGAAGCAGATGTGTTTGTAAAAAGAGCATACATTCTTTATAAGCGTCTTATTGGTGCTGGGAGAGATTGAAAAGTAGATTGGCTGCTTTTTTATGGACGCGCTTTAAATCAAATGTGTTTTTTATATGTTTCATAACACTGGTACTGCTTTATTACATATTTAGCACATATTTATTTACTTTCACCCAGCAATACAATAAGCTACTGGATCTCATTGCAAGTTTAAAAATGTGTTTAAATATAAAGGAGGCCATTGAGGACTTTCTGAGTATGTAATAAGTGCAATTAATGGTGAAATAACACAATTACTTTTGAAAACTGTATGAAACATCTCCTGTTGAAAGTGCTCTGAGAGACTTTTTTGTAACTCAATCAAAAATTCCTGATTGACAAAGCCAGATAATTGTGATGAAGCAAAGCCAGATATTTTTTTCTTTCAAACGTAATAAAAAAATAAATAAAAATAAATGTTGAATGCCATGACTGGAACAATAGCAACAATAGACACATTAGGACCAAAAGATCTCAGACACATATTTGCAATATTGTAGTCAACCTTCAAATAGATAGTCTCCCTCAAAAAGGAGTCTTGGAAAAGTAAAATGTTGTGACCAAGTCACACCACAACATATTCAGATCACTTTTAACGTTTTAAATTCTTATGCACGGTTTTTATTGGCGGCTGATCTCATTCAAACAGTCAAAGTCTATAATATATAGACTTTGACTGTTGGAATGAGATCAGCCCCCACCCCTCTAACTTCCTTTGGGATCGATACATTGTTTATCTTATCTATCTTATATCGTCTTCATCTCATTAGAAAACATATTATCCTTTGCATACTTGACAGAGCCATGTGAGTCACTATTTGACACGTTGGGCTGAGAGCTGCCTATGTGAGTGTGGTCCTCTCTTTTTTAACTTTGTCTAAAAAAGCTGATCTAAAATATGACGGAAGCCCAAATAAATGCATGTGAAATACTGAGTTTACAAAAAGTTAAATTTTGTGTGAAAGTGACGTGCCCTTGCTTTAAAACTTCTCCACCCGCTGCAGTACTTCGTCCTATTAACAGTATGTATGGCTATATTAGAGCAAAGCATTGTGGGTAAACGACTCCAGAGTGCTGATTAAGTCCGCCGCTTCGTTACATAATGATCTGATAGGTCCTCTTAATGTATTCTAACACCACAGAGCTTTCCAAAGTGCTGCCGCAGCCATCGCAACCGGCCAAATGAAATTCACAATGGTTATGCAGAGGATAGGTTACTCCTTATGAAACTGATAAACCAGGAAGTGGACGAGGAAGAGAGATGTACGACCGACGCTGCATTTTACTGCATTGAGCTTTGAGCCAACACCGGCTCGATGTAATAAAAGACGATCCATATTCCCAGGTCCGAGGATTAATTTATGCTGATGCAGAAAAATGCATCAGGACAGACAGAGGCAGAGCAGTACGTAAGTGAGGTAAGTAATACGCACCCAGGAGAGAAAAGCAGGTTATTTAAGGACTATGGAAGACAACACTATTTATCACAAATGGTGCGATTTTGCATATGACATCAAGGTTGGGGATTGTCACTGATCGTTTGAGGTGCAAACTTGCTTAGTAGATAAAAGAAATGGGCAGAGCGAGTGATGGGAACGAGGCTGCGGACAAAAGGGTATCATAATGCAAGATCTATATACAGTGGGGCAAAAAAGTATTTAGTCAGCCACCAATTGTGCAAGTTCTCCCACTTAAAATAATGACAGTGGTCTGTAATTCTCTTCAACTGTGAGAGACAGAAAAAATCCTGGAATTCACATTGTAGGATTTTTAAAGAATTTATTTGTAAATTATGGTGGAAAATAAGTATTTGGTCAATAACACAAATTCAACTCAATGGGAGGAGGTTTTGGCTCAAAATCTCACGATACATGGCTCCATTCATTCTTTCCTTAACACGCATCAGTCGTCCTGTCCCCTTAGCAAAAAAACAGCCCCAAAGCATGACGTTTCCACCCCCATGCTTCACAGTAGGTATGGTGTTCTTGGGATGCAAGTTGCATGAGTTGCATGCAACTCAGTATTCTTCTTCCTCCAAACACGACGAGTTTAGTTTATACCAAAAAGTTCTACTTTGGTATCATCTGACCACATGACATTCTCCCAATCCTCTGCTGTATCATCCATGTGCTCTCTGGCAAACTTCAGACGGGCCTGGACATGCACTGGCTTCAGCAGGGGGACACGTCTGGCACTGCAGGATTTGATTCCCTGTCGTCGTAGTGTGTTACTGATGGTAGCCTTTGTTATTTTGGTCCCAGCTCTCTGCAGGTCATTCACCAGGTCCCCGTGTGGTTCTGGGATTTTTGATCACCGTTCTCATGATCATTTTGACCCCAAGGTATGAGATCTTGCGATCGAGGGAGATTATCAGTGGTCTTGTATGTCTTCCATTGCTCCCACAGTTGATTTGTTCACACCAAGCTGCTTGCCTATTGTAGATTCACTCTTCCCAATCTGATGCAGGTCTACAATTCTTTTCCTGGTGTCCTTCAACAGCTCTTTGGTCTTGGCCATAGTGGAGTTTGGAGTCTGACTGTTTGAGGCTGTGGACAGGTGTCTTTTATACAGATAACGAGTTCAAACAGGTGCCATTAATACAGGTAACGAGTGGAGGACAGTCTCTCACAGTTGAAGTGTACCTATGATGAAAATTACAGACCTCTGTCATTATCTCAAGTGGGAGAACTTCATAATCAGTGGCTGACTAAATACTTTTTTGCCCCACTGTATTTGCAGTTACTGGATAATTTGTACAAAGATGAAGAAGCCAAACAAAATCTACAGTATTTGCTGTTTTTAGTGTATTTCAAATTGGTTAAAATTAGCAGCTTAAATCCAATAAGATGGCATGCAACTAATATATATTCTTTAAAGTTGAAAAATATTGGCACATGAGTTTAGACAATTGTATGACTTCCTCAATTTAGCTTGTGGGATGATTTTGCAAATAGCTATAAAATATATAAACTTCAGTGTTCATAAGAAAAATACATTTCCTGTTGGCACGCCGCAGCGAGCCATGTCCACTCCACAGAGTATCATTGGAAAAATAGAGTTATAAAGTATGGGGAACATAACTTAAACATGTTATTTGCCTCAAGATAAAAGAGTAACACTTGACCCTTTGCACTGAGAGCTGATTGGCTGAGAAAGAGCGTTACTGTCTTTTTAACACTTGCGGCAGAAGTTCCTGATACTAGTTTGGATGGATATAAAAAAATATTCCAGGTTGGTTGTTAAGAGAATTGTGTTATAAGATTATAAAAGCTCAACAACAAAAAAGTCAATTTTGCATTTTATATCTGCTTTGATTTACTGTTCATCTTTTTCATTTTATTGATCACTAAAGTTTTAAGGAAAGGCTCACAGGTCTCCACAGACAGCTCCCACACTCTGCACTCACACTACAGTCTGCTCCCATCAGGGCGTAGGTTTAGATCCCTCCCATTCAAAACAAAAACGGCCACATCCAGCTTCCTCCCCACCTCAATTCGCCTTTTATTAAACAGCTGACCTGAGACCTGTTTTATGTATTTTATATTGCATTTCTGCTCTTTTAATGCATTCACATTTAGATCTTGTGTTTCTGTGCTTTTATATACCCCCACTGGTGCTCTGTCCACTGTTGCTGTCTGTAAATGAAGTTCCTTACGGATTAATAAAGTTATTTGAAATTAATTGAATTATGCAGAGCTATTTCAGAGTTATGAGACTAGA